TGGGGGAAAATTGATGGGATCACAAGACATAAATCCTTTACTGTATTGTATGTGTTTGTCATGTAGAAACTTGAAAAAGTCTGAGGAGAGCGTTTCCCGTATCCAAGGGGAGCTGGAGGAGAACGAGAAGCTGATGACTGAGCTCACAGAAAAACTGAAGAAACTAGAAGATGAGGCCGGGGAGATCATGAAAGCCTGTCATGAAGCAGAGGTTAATGCTTTTTATTTCTAAGATCTGTAACTCACTAATAAGCTTTTCTGGTTTGTTTTCCATGAACCGGTATTCGTATCATAATATCTCAAACGAGCGTTGGTTTGTTTTCTCCCCCAGTAAAGCTGTTCTTCAGAGTCTCTCACCCCAATCGCCTTGTTGTCCTCATCCTGCTCTGTTTCTGGTCCTGTAGGCAGCTCTTCCTGAGGTGCGGGAGCAGTATGAGAAAGTCTCCAAGGAGATAAAGGCCCTGCAGCAGCAGGAGCACGCATTGAAAGAGGAGTCTCTCAACGTCCGACTTTCGATCGAGCAGATAGACGCCACCATCACAAAGCACAACAGCAAGATCAAGTTCTGGCAGGATGAGGCGAGTCAACTGAAGAGTCATGTAACCATCAGGCTCCCTGCTTCCTCTGACGGGGTCTTTAATGCCTGTTGTTTATGTTCCAGAATGCCAAGCTGTCCCTTCACACCATTGAAGACCAACCAGCAGAAGAGCTCCGTGTCTTTCCCCCTGCTGAGCTGGAAGCGATCCCAGATCCAAACATCCTTGTCAACAAGATTAGCACGTTGGAGAACCAGTGCAGACAGATGAAGCCCAATCTAGGAGCTATTGCAGAGTACATGAAGAAGGTACGCACCAGTCAGGCGTCCTAGTTTGCTAAGCTAGTAGGGAGGGAGGGGGTCATCACGTCACATATGGTCAAGGAGTATCCACTCTACTCACTTCTGCTAAAGCTCATCTGTCAGTGAGAAAATCAAAGGTTTCCTGATTTGGAGCAAAGTAGGACTAATTTAAACTCTGCTGCTCCTGTCCAATATGACCTCCTACAGTCACTGATGCAATGAAAGAAAATTACTGTTTGATTAATTTACTGGATTTTAGCTTTCTCAAAACTTATTTTCCTACATCAGAAATCAGCCATATTAAGAATGACTACAAAGCGGTAAGCTACATCCTTTATTAACATGTATGTCCGACGCTTTGCCTCCTTAGGAGGAGCTGTACCTGCAGCGTGTCGCCCAGCTGGACGAGATCACAGCAGAGAGGGACAGGTTCAAACACGCCTACGAAGACCTCCGTAAACAGAGGCTTAACGAGTTCATGACCGGGTTCAACATGATCACCAACAAGTTGAAGGAGAACTACCAGATGCTGACGCTGGGTGGGGATGCAGAGCTGGAGCTGGTGGACAGCTTGGATCCCTTCTCTGAGGGAATCATGTTCAGGTGAGGGAGGAAGACGCAGGCGCTGCAAGTCGAGGGGGGTTATCTGTAGCTGCAGGATATTTGACTCCTTCATTTGTTTTAGTGTTCGTCCTCCGAAGAAAAGCTGGAAAAAGATCTTTAACCTGTCAGGAGGAGAAAAGACCCTCAGCTCTCTGGCTTTGGTTTTCGCTCTTCATCACTATAAACCCACCCCACTCTACTTCATGGACGAGATAGATGCTGCTCTGGACTTCAAGAACGTCTCCATCGTTGCCTGTTACATTTATGTGAGTCTGAATCTCTGCATGATACGTCTAGATGTCCCTTGGTTTCAATATATAATTATATATTTGTTTTATTTATTTTTTTTAAATCAATATGCTGTTTGATACCAACATGTTTTATATGTCACTGTAATGAGATTTATCCTTCTGGTTGCAGGAACAAACAAAGAATGCTCAGTTCATCATCATCTCGTTGAGGAACAACATGTTTGAGATCGCAGATCGCCTCATCGGCATCTACAAAACACACAACACAACCAAAAGTGTGGGAATCAACCCAAAGACCATTGTGTTTAGAGAACATGATGCTATAACTGCATAAAACCCAACTTTCTTTTCTTTCTTTTTTACTTTTTTCATGAACCATGTAAATATTGTCCTTTTTAAAGTGCTGCTATTCTTACAATTTAAAATAAACTTAAAATGAACCCCATTGTAAAATTATGTTAATCATTTAAGGTCCCAGGAAACAAATCAGAGGACATGTTAAGAACAGTTTTTATGCTCCGAGTGTATTTTTTGAACATTAGTGTTAAAAGTTAAATACCTTTTTTTTTTTACTTTGGAAAAATTATTTTGTTCTGTTTGTTCTAATTCTCTATATAGAAATGTTGCTTTTTATCACTCCCTCCAAGGTAAAAAATATATATTTTTATACTGGTTTGATCTCTGGCCACAACAATTGTCTACTTTGTTACAGAAAATGAAAAAAAAAAAAAAAAAACCTTCAGTTTGGCCCAGCATTTGAAAAATGTCCAATATTCCTGGATGCAGTCGATGTTAATTTTTGGGTGGCCAAAAGTGGGGAAGTGGGTTTCTTGAAACGTTTATTAAATTGGCTACACTACGAGTATTAGTTGCCGTCATTCAGATTTTTTAATTTATACACTTTCGGTGTGTAGGATTCATTTTAGTGACAAAGTTTAAATTCACTTGGACACTGACAAAGATTATATCACACCACAAAGAACAGGCATCCCTAAAGTCGGTCTTCGAGGCCCGCTGTCCAGCAGGTTTTAGAGGTTTCTCTGCTTTAGCACAGCTGATTCTGATGATTGCATTTCAGAAAGAGCCTGTTAATCAACTATCAATGTAAATCAGCTGTGCTGGAGCAGGGAAACCTAAAACTTGCAGGACAGCGGCCCTCGAGGACCGACTTTGGGGTTACCTGGTGTAGAAGGTTAAAAGGAAAGCTCTGAAGAACAGCATCAGAAAAAAAAAACGGTCTAACTTTCTAAACCAATTTTTTAACAGGTGTTGATTGTTATATTATATTGTTACTGCAAGTGGGGGCTAGAGAGAATCCATGATGCATGGGAAGAACATGCACATTGGCTTTACTTTTTTGTCCGCCTGCCATGGTATTAAAATGGAACAGGGATGGTTCTATGGTGCAGATGTTGCATTATATGGCCAGTAGATGGCAGTGTGTAGAGCCACTGCCTATAGAGTTGGGCTCTGCACAGCTCGACTACTTCCTGAAATTAAAGCAGCTCTAGTATTTCCTGTCTTTTTCTGCTGGATGAACTGATTAATCCAGGTGTGTCTGGCCCCTTAACAAGGTGGTCAGACACACCTGGATTAATCAGTTCATCCAGTGATTAAATCCAGGAAACAGCAGCGTTTCCTGAAGGTCAGGAAGCAGTGGAGTTATGCATAGAGCCCATCAGGTAGCTAGAAGTCTAAAGATTCATCTGCAAGCTGAGCTTTCCTTCCACATGCATCAACACCACACTGCCAAAATGAAAAACACAATGGAACTAACATTTTTATTGAAAACAGAAAAAATAGAGTAACAAAAATGTTAAGATAACTTAAAGGAAAATTCCGTTTTTTAACACTTTTAGCCCATTTTCTGTAGTGTCCAGGATGAAATCGAATGATCGACACCAAAATTTTGACAACTGGTCCTGTCTCTGCTATTTGGCTCATGCAGAATCCCCCCCTGGCTGCTTCAGAATGGCTTCCATAGTGCATGTCCGATAATGTCCTTAAAACAACCTTAAACGTTCTTTTTTTTTTTAAATATGCTACTCACCGGGTCGTCAGCGCTGTTCAATGACGTTCCAAAAAAAGTTTTGTAAAGATAAAACGTTCCTGTAGTGTTTTATTTAGCATTTTGTAAATCCCATTGAGTTCTGTTGGAATAGTCAATATCCCTCCGCCACCGGAAATGGGGCCTGTTTACGCTTAGTTGTAGTCTTTTCGCAAGGCCCAAGTGTTTCTGCTTCACTCTGTGTACTCCGACGTCGAGGTGCTAACGTCTCTGTTAAACACTTTAAAAAACTCTGAAAATGGAATACGAAAGGTGGATTCTTGAGGAGGACATATTGGACTTTGAGTTTGACGGTAGAGGATACCGTCGCCAACTAGTGGTCTGGAGTGTGCAACGCTTCAGATTCGAACGGGAAGCGGAAGTTTATAAGCGGTTGTGATGTATCGGAAAAAATAGTTCTGGGATTTACAAAATGCTAAATAAAACAAGACAGGAACGGTTTTTCTTCACGAAACTTTTTTTGGAACGTCATTGAACAGCGCTGACGACCCGGTGAGTAGCATATTTAAAAAAAAGAACGTTTAAGGTTGTTTTAAGGACATTATCGGACATGCACAATGGAAGCCATTCTGAAGCAGCCAGGGGGGGATTCTGCATGAGCCAAATAGCAGAGACAGGACCAATTGTCAAAATTTTGGTGTCGATCATTCGATTTCATCCTGGACACTACAGAAAATGGGCTAAAAGTGTTAAAAACCAGAGTTTTCCTTTAATGCAGATTCTTCTTTTTTTTTTTTTACATTTTCAGATCCCAGTTTGCATCAAACCAATGTCATTTATTACAAGGCAGCATAAAGTACTATTTTTTTTTTTATTAAGATTCAGTTTCCAAAGGTGGGTTTTCCAAAGACAAAGGCATGATGGTATGCAACACATTCCTCTTATTTGTTGTAAACAGTCTGCTGTGATAATATCCAGATGCAAAGTGTCTCATAAGGTTAAATTTGAGCCTTAAAGCATTATGCCTGTAATAAACAGTAAGACGAACAGAACATGAGAGATCAAAATACTGAATGCTACATAATGTGCATTGAAAGAGTGGAATTAGAAACAGCCTCGGAGAAGTGTTGCTGAAGCATTGCTCTGATTATGTACCATCATTTCCCTATGAGTGGCTATAGGCAACAAGCACAGAAGATTCTGGCTTAATTACATTCCTGTTTTGTTAAAAAGTTTAGTGTTAAAGCAGAATTAATTCCTGTTGGCACTAAGGCTCAAAGAAAAGGATTTTTTTTTTAAAAAATGCTAATAAAAGAAAACAGACCAAGTTAAACAAAAACAACTGGTAAATGTTTCAGTATTAATGATATAAAAGTTTACTTTTGGGAAACAATTTAAAGAGTTCTGTCTCCAGTTTATCCTCCCTCAGTGAGAAAGAGTTTTAAATAAGGTGGCCACTTGCTGAGAGAGACAGTCTTTGAATACAGACAGCTGTGAGCCCCACTCCTGCAGAGCCGCCCCAAACTCCGCCCACTGCCGCGCCAGGCTATCCCAGACTGATGTGAGCAGGTCATCGCTCAGAGCCTGGACCAGCTGACTGAAGCTGGACAGGGCAGAGAAGCCGAGTGATGCTTCTCCAACAGGGTTGGCCCACAGCGCTGCCAGCAGCAGCAGCAGGCCCAGGAGCAGCACAGAACCAGCGGGCTGCAGCCGACACCACCTGTTCGAGGCGGGAGAGGTTACTTTCGCTTCAGTCTCTATACTGCCGCCGTTACATCTGGCACAGCAGCGCAGTTTGGGGACAGGCGCCTTCTCCAGGCTGCCGATGGTCACGGCGGGCCAGTTCTGCTGCAGAAACTCAGAGGCTGGCGGCGTCACCGAGAGGCTGATCACAGAGGGCAGCGGGGATTCGAGGAACTTCTCCACCCGATCTCTGAACTGATGAACCTTCTCCAAAAACACCAAAGGGGATTCTTCCTCCTCCACAGATGATCCTAAAGACACCAGATCCAACTGCTCCTCCTGGGAACAGTCAGCAAATTAAAGCAACGCAGTGATTAAAAAAACAATTTTTCAAAGTGGTTTAGATTAGGGCTGCAACTAAATATTATTTTGCAAACCAATGAATTTGTCGATTATTCTTTGATTAATGTATTAATAATTGGATAGCCAAAGATTACTTACAGAAGGTATTTTACCAAATGAAACCAGGTGAAACAAAAACATTTTCAACATGAGTTCTGGATAGAGCATATTGAAAAAGAAAATGCAAAATGTTAACATATATTTTAACAAATTTTATATAATAGCTGCTCTAAGTGTGTTGCTCTTACAGCTAAAGCCATGTTTTACAGTCTCTATTCTCTGGTTAATGATTAATTAATTGCTAAATTAGTTGATGCTTATTTCAATAATGATTAATCAGTTTAGATATAACTTTATTTAGATATGCATTAAAAGCATGGATCATTTTTTTTTTTTTATTGTATTTGCTAAATCAAACATTGAATATGCCACTAGCGTTAAGCATGTTAGAGAAACAGTGATGCTGTGTGTCTTCTTAGCTTTCCAAAACCCTGAGAACCTTGTTAGAGTTCATCCGGTCACAAACCAATTTACCAGAACATCTAAAAAATGCCACAAAATATTTAGTTCACTAGACGCTGCATCCACCTTTTATCTAAGAACCTGGATGGTGAGATTGCCTGCAGAGAAGAGCCTGGATTTAATCACTGCAGTCAATTCGGAGTGTTTTCTTACTAACATAAGCTAATGTTTTAGAAAAGGGTGACATTCAATATTCCAGCATTTTTTATTTTTTTTTAGAAACAAATGGGCTCTGAGCTCAGACTAATATTCTTGTATTTTCAGCGGGAGATTTTTTCCAACTAAACTGAACTCTTTGATACAGACGAGAAAGCAGATGAAGCGTTTTGTTGACGTTTCTACACACCTGCAGCTCCTTGACTCTGTGGATGAGCGGGTCATAGGCCTCTGATACCTCAGCCGAAGCTCTCCTCAAAGCCTCCAAGTAGGCCTGCTTCTTCCTGGCCAGAACCTCCTCTAACGAGGTGAAGTACTGATTGACCTCCTGGGTGTCCTGCCTCAGCAGGGCGTCACAGCGGGCCTTCTCCTGCTCTAGCTGCTCCCCCAGCTCACAGATCTTAACGGAGGAGCAGGATAACGGTTAGCTTGACTCCTATCTGGGTTTCTGGAACCTCTAGGCTGGCTTTCCTCCTACCTGACTCCATCTCTGCTCTGACAACCTGGAGAGCAGCAGCACCGGGGTTTCCATTTCTTTGATGAAAGCTGCCTGCAGGTCATCTATGGGATGACCCTGGTGCTGGCCGATGGTCAGACACAGACCGCAGATCATCTGCCGGTCCTGGATGCAGTACATGTTCAGAGGCTGCCTGCTGTGCTCCTGGCAGGACTGCGCTCGAGGTTCGCCGTCCCTCTGGTACTGAAACCACAGCGGCAAAAATGACAAAAATAAGCATCAGCGTAACTCGTTTTTTCTTTTTTTTTGTTTGAAACTCTTCCTTAAACGTGTCGTACTTTCTCAACAATGGCTCGCAGAGACACGTTGGACGGGAGAGCGTCCACACCGGTCGGGGGCAGCTCCGCCACACTGCGGCAGTTGGGGCATTTGATGGGCAGGCGCAGCGGGCGCCAGATGGAGGTGTTGCTGGACACCTGGAGCAGGTTGTCCAAGCAGTGTTTGCAGAAAGTATGGGAACACGGCAGGACGCGCGGGTCAGAGAAGAGCGAGTAGCACACCGAGCAGGTCAGGTCCTCCTCCACGCTGTCCATCACAGAGCCCGGAGATCCGTCAGGGGTGGACCGGAGGCTTCCTGTTAAAAAAGAAAATTCACCTCTCAATTGGACGTTTGTTCCACCACTTTTCCTGGGACGTTGGAATATTTTCCTCTTCGTAGGGTGTGTTTTTTTGGTAGAGAGCTTATTGCTTCGGTTGGTTAACCTGCAGAACTCTTATGGGATCGCCTTTTATTGTCTTTGCACATAGCAGACGTCTACTAGCAACAAAAGTTGTTATCCTCAGAGACTTAAGCAGCTGCTATGGTTGAACCGGTATACCTAGCTTTTAAATAAAGCTCTTGTTTCAAATATGCCCCATATCCAACTCTAACTGTGCACTGATAGCCAGCAGGCTGCAAGAAGACTGCTACTTTATTCATACATGTGGTCTCTCTCTTCTTTTTTAAACATTTATAAAAGTGATGCTTTTTCTACTCAATTCGAAATATATTTAAAATGTATTTGTTTTTTGCTTTTGTTTGCTCAGCTATCATCAACTTATAAAAGCAGTCCTAATCTCAAGGGATGGGCCACAGTTGTCTCTACGCATACCAGACGTCTAAAGGCACCAAACCAACTTTCCATTAGATCTTTGCCACCATCAGCCAATCATACAGCTGGAAACTAAAAATAGACATAAGTTGGTAATTTGGGGTCTGGAAAGGTGGACAAATTTGGCATGTGTGAGCAAATAAAAGACGAAAGCTTTTTTACATTCCACTTCTTGAGCCCTTGAATGATATATTACCTACTGTAAATTAAGTTTAAAAAAAAGGTTAAAAAGTCAATTAAATGGTAAAAAGCTAATTGAAAAGTTAATAAGCCTCATTAAAAATTATATTTAGATTTATAAACTAAAAAATGTAAATGCCAGTATCAGCATTAAAGCCTCTAAGGTTATGTTGGACCAAAAAAAATGTCTTTCTTTTTAATGAATTTCTTGTAGAACCACTTTTGTTATTTTTCTTAATATATTCGGGCAAGTTGGTGTTTCTTGTTATTAGATAGACATTAATTTTTGCCATCAAAATATTAATATTTTTTTAATGTTACAAAGGAAATAAGGTGTAGTCCTGTATTCCAATAACACTATTGGCTTAAAATGTTGATTTACAAAGTATTTTACTGGGTGCCCTATAAAGGATTAAATTAGTTGTATAAATAAATATTAAGTCCTGCATATAAACACTCCTTCATTTTAGACATCCATAGGTTATATGACTGGGCTAAATAGTAAATAGAAGAAACATGTGCTGCTTTCAATGTGCTGGTTAGAGGAAACAGAACAGACCTTGTACTGAAGGAAAGAACAAGCTTGGCTCCTGTTACCCTGATCGGTTATGCTGTTTTGTTTCTCCTCGTGTTACATTCAGGAGCCCAGCAACAATAATGGGGCCGATGCCCCCCAGAGACACACCGCTGTACCGCCCCTGTTCTCAGCAGCTGATAGGGGTCCATTAGTGGACAAATCCGCCTTAAAACCAAAGCTTAGTTTTAACATAATCTACATTTCTAGCCACATCAGTCGTTCCAACAATTTTATTTAGTAACAACAACTTTTATGTTATTTTTTAAGAAAATAACTGTTACTTCCCACATAAAAAAACGTCCAATCATCCTTAAAACAACCTTAAATGTTATTTAACAATTTTTTTTTTTTTTTTTTTTGTAAGCAGTCAGTTAAATCTTGTCGTTATTACCGTTCGGTAACCACATTTTATCTACATTTAGATGATTCAATCAAAACCAGGCACATTTACCGTCTGTTTAAAACAAAGCGACCCCAACAGCTTTCCTCTTTTCTTCCTTCTCTGATGCATTCAAGTACATTAACAAAAAAAAACCTATTTCCAAAACAGCAGCACGACCCGTAGCATTGAAACTACATCCAAATTAGAAAAAAAGTCACTTTTAAATACATGACACTTGTTTTTTTTTTTTGTTTTTTTAAGATGTTTTCTTTAAGGATGCCGATAAAAAAAATCCTCAAAACAGCGCGATTTGTTGGCCCTCTGAAAATATGCTGCGTTTTTTTTTTTTTACCTCGGAAGTTTGACTTTGATATAAGTAACGCGAGAGGTTAACAAAGTTCGTGCATTCCTCTCCGCTTTAATAAACGCGTTAAAGTATAAAGTTTGTAGATACGTGACACAGGCCGTCTAAAGCGTAAATAATTCTGAAAAGGTACACGCGACAACCATATAAAAAAAAAAATACATACTTCAGGATTCATCCGACATTCTGTCTTCAGATAATAGTTAATTTCGAGCCGCCACTGTTGATAAACAAGCAGACCCGTCTCTACTTTCCTATCTATTACAGCTGTTCTACTGTTGGTAATGCGCATGCGCACTAACGGTTGATCGGTCAGTCTGACCAATCAGATGCTGACTTTTCTTTTTTCCGAAAGCAGCCTTGAAACCCATATGAACCGTTTGAAATTACGAATATGTTTTGGTAGTACGATATACATTATGCTTTATACTAGACGTCTTTAACAGGGGATCCGCGCCCCCTAGGGGACGAAGGTACTTTTTATCAGTTTGATTAAACGGTATAAAAGTAGCTTTGTCCTAGGGGTCCGTGGAGGTACTCCATGGGGGTCGCGAAAGTTTTCGTTATTATTCTATACATTAAGATTAATTCAACACACTGTAGTAAACAGATAAATGGAGGCAGGAGATAATCTTTCAGTCCTCAATGCAGAACTGGGTTAGTGGAAATGAGAAGATATATATATTTTTTGTCATTGTCGTTCCATTAAGTTTATTGTAAGAACAGAGAAAGAATATTAAGATTTAACGCATAAAATATCTAATCTTAAAAAGTTTTTCTTTCTTTTTGCAAATATGAATCAACACTATAACATTGTTTAACATTCTAAAAACATGACTTTTTTTAGATAGTCTTCCACATAAATGACAAATTAACCAGAGAAAAGAGGTCAAACAGGTATAGCATAGCTGTAACCTAAACCTTTTTTTTTTCTCCCCTGCAATTTTTTCCACTAATTGAAATTTCTTTAAATTCATATTAAAATGAATTCAACACAATGTAATGAACAGATAAATGGATGCAGAAGATGTCTTTCAGTCATCAACGCTCACCTTCAGCGACACACAGGAGCTCTTTCAAGCTGGGAACCGTTTCATTCACAACACCTGTCCCATTAACCAGGAATCAGAATCAGAAATACTTTAATAATCCCAGGGAGAAATTACTTTAGTTACATTACTCCATATGTAATAGAGTGACTATAGGACTAGTTTGATATAACACAATCTCATAGTATATTTATAATTAGGGGGTCCCAGCTCCATCTCACCATCAGTTTGGGGGTCCTTGGACTGGAAAACATTAAAGACCCCTGATCTATACTATTAAAAAGGCTTGTTTCAAATTGCATTATTATTTTCTGGAAGCCTTCCATACCATCTCCATTAATCCTCAGCATGATTCCCACTCAGGACTCTGGGGTTATCTTAGATATGACATTAAATGAGCTCTGATCAAAATGTTAACTCTAGAAACAATCTTGATTTGTTTATTGGGGTATTTTTGATACAGTAGAAAACAAACGAGTAATAAAAGAAATTTTAATTTCCATCCATATGTCGCTTTTCATACATGTATAAGAAATTTCACATAATTTTAAGATTATTGCTGTCTATCATAGCTTATGCCTTCTGAGAGATCAGATAAAAAAAGACTAACTCAGTCCACAATGAACGGTGAAGGTGTGTGTGTGTTTTCACACAGCTTTAAATGTCTGTTGGGTGATGTGAAGGTAACCACCTCTCCTTTAACACTGATAAACTGATATATTTTAAGGATCGAGTGAGCATGGTGCTATGCAGGGAAAACAAGATGATTCATTGAGGTTTTGGGTTCATTAACCTGCTTTTTTCCTTCCACACCAAAAGCTCTCAGATGGAAACTTTTCTCTTTTTTGCTCCAGGATATTTTTAGAAAACAATTGAGAGAAAAAATCAATCCGAAACTGAGGAAATAGAACACTGCTCACACCATGGCTAGGAAAGAGTTAAAACGGTGAGTCAACAGGCAGACCATCCAGCTAACTGTGGTTTTATGGTTAAGTTTGTTGTACCGGTAGTTATTTTTCAAATCTTCAATAGAAAACTGCTGATTTCCTTGGGTTGTGTTGATTCAACAAATAAAATCTAACAATCCTCTTACATGTTTAGCCCTGATAAATTAGCTTTTTTTTAGTCTCTTTTGCTCTCAAATGTTTGAGCCATGCACATAAAACCTCTTAAGTTAGCAGTCCAAATAGTAAAGAATACATTATTTTGTCACCCATTTCAGAGAGGTAAAGTTATATATAGACTTTATATACATATATATTTCAAGCCCTCTTTTTATGATTTGGATGATTACTATACGAGATAACGAAAATCTTAAAATCCAACATCTCAGGAAAATTTGAATATTACAAAAGAGAAAAACATTTAGAAGAACTAAAATGGACAGCTGAGCTGATTAAGGTGTGAAGCCATGCGTTTCCAACACCTGTACTTTTTCCACCCTAACTTAATTTTCTTAAGACACTAAATATCGGATTTTCCATATCTGCTCAGTAATACAAATATGGTGGAAAATACAGGCTTAAAATATTGCGCTGTGTAATAGACTTATTTAAATGAATAAGCTGTTTGGATGAACCTGATTGATTCTTGCTGCAGTTTTGTATTTCAGGGTTTTACTTCATCCAATAGATGAAGCAATAACTTGATTTTTTTTTAAGAGCTAAGTTATTAAGCAGTTAGGCGGGTTGATACCCACCACAGTATGCTCTTCTATTCTTGTGACTGCAGTACAGAGTTCTTAAATCCCTTCAGTGTGCCGGTTTGTTCGGTTTTCACATTTCTGCTGGATTCATAAATGTAATATCTAATTATTTAAACTATTACATCAGTTTTGTATGGTATCTATGGAAACCATTGATGCAGAACTGGCTGTTCTGTAAAAAACTTCACTTTTTTTGCCACCAGCTCAGCTGCCATGTGCCTACTTTTTTCTTAGCTGCTTCACATGAGTGGTAAAAGTGTTCCCTCAAAGTCGCAATGTAGTGCTGCTGGTAGAAACTAAAGGAACAAAATGAAACAATGCAACAACAACAAAAAAGGATTAAAACGAACAGAAAACGCACAAACAGCCTCTCGGTTTGGGTTTCTCTATTTATTTTCATGAAGACAGTCCATCCTTTAGCCTTCCTTCCCTCCCAAAAAAAAGGTTTTAGGCTTTCTCCTTTCTTCCAGCTCATAATTTTAAGATTTGAAACCACTTTGCTAACAAGGAATGCTGCAAAAAAAAAAAAAAAAAAAGAATTACCCCTATGTTCAACAGAAGGTTTATGAGCACAATGTATAATTAATTACTACAGTGTTTGAAGTGAAAGCAAAAAAAAAAAAAAAAAGAGGTTAAGCTTGAACATTTAGCTTGTAGAAAAACAAAAGAAGGGTAAAGGGAGAAGACTCTGCAAGGTACTTAAGTTACAGCAAACTTGTTCATGGGTTTATTCATTATTCAGGTAAACCCGTTTAGAACAGCTCCAGTCTGACACATGGGACACCTTTGACTTTGAGAGGAAGGAGGTTAAATCCCCTGCAAGTCAAGCTGAGATACATCAGCAGATTCATCAACTGCTGCTCCTGAAATAAAGTACTTATATTCTCAAGTAGCACTAAAAAGTATCATTAGATTACTTTAGAAAGACAACAAAGACTGTGGCTGAGTGATGCATAATGTAAAGGTTGGTCGGGCGGGGGCGTTAAAACCCACCAACACTCACCCAGGCCTCACTTTGCAGTACATGTGCAAAACCATACAGATTATTTAGCAAAATTTGACAATAGTGAGGAGAAAGGGAAACATGTAACATTTAAGCACAGTATTACTTAAAATAAAAATTACACTGTATTCACAGCCTAAGGAAACTAAAATACCCTAAAAATAACTGTGCTAGTACATGCAAGGGTTATGATTCACAATCCTACGCAACGTGGCCATCGATTTGTTCTCCTGTGGCGATACTCGAAGCTGTGGCAGCGGTGATTCTGCTGGAAAATGAAGAAAGATGAGCGGGAGGATTTGGTTGGTTCTGGTGGGTAGGGTCTGAATTTCACAGCATCAAGCCCACATCTGGTGTTCAGCTTAGGGGGGTCAGGAGGAAGGGAGGGATATAATGATGATGATCATCATTCACCTTTACAGAAAAGAAGTGAAACTAAAAGCTGAAAATAAAAAATATATATATAATAAAAAAAAAAGGAACACACTGGAGAAAAAAAAAGCCCAAAAGCATCTTAATTTAACGCAGGCTGCTCCTCCACACCTAACAGAAAGAATGTCCAGTGTCAATTAATACTAAATTATAATTCCAAACAAAAAATATTAATCTTTATGATTTTTTTTTCATTTTTTTCCTAAGTTCTTCCTTTCAGAAATTTGAGGATCAGCCTCATTCAAAAGGCAGAATTAACTTTCCCGCAACCTTTGCGTCAACGTGTTGTTGAGTTTCTCTTCAGATGTCGTCGTTTGCGTTTTTTCTCGCTTCCCTTCCCTGCATGCGCTCTCTCCCAGACTCGCACTCTTCCCAGTCACACGCAGCCAAGCGCACACACATCTCGTCCGTCCATTCTCTCGCACATGCGACACGTTCAGTCAGACTCCTAGCCCCGCCTTCTGGTGGGGGAGACTGGTGAGGAGGGGAGGGGGGCGTCTCGTTGGAGGAGATGAACCTGGCTCCTCAGCGCTGAGTCCAGACATCCATACACAATGAGTCCATTCATACTCTGTCTGATAATCGTGGCCGGTTTTGGGAGGGGCACGTCGTAGGTGGCGCCCCCTCCTGGTGAGAGGAACGCTTAATTGTAATGAGTCACGGTTCATTTCTGTCCATATTTATATTTATATCTGTTTTTGAAGGTGGTCTGTCAGGACGTCTTGATTTTCCTGCTCCAAATGTCCTCGGTTCACCCTGGAAAGACATCCACGTGTTTTGTTTTGTGTTTTTTTGTTGTTGTTGTCGCTTGTAGAAATTTTCCAGAAGTCGACAACTCTGATAAAGAAGTTACGTCGGCGTGTCTCAACGCATTCGATGTAGATGTTTTGCTTCTTTTTTTGAATGTTTTTTTTTTGCAACATGTAGCCACTCATTCTCACTCGCACCCACTCGCCATCTCAAACTTCATTTGGGCTGGTTCCTCTGGAATGCCAAATGAAATCCACATATTTTTCTCTCATATAAGATGCAGCCATGGATCCCACGAGCCAAGCACAATGGATCGAATTTCTCACACTCGCTCTCTCTCGCTCTTTCTCTCCTAATTGGTTTATGTTGAACAGGGTGCTGCATCGCGAACAAAACTCCAGAATAAGCCCAGGTGACGTCTAGAACTGGAACCCCTTGGCTGGCACGTTGGCTGAGTTAAAGCTGAAAGTCCCGCCTTGGATGGCGTCTGGGACCAGGCTGGTGTCTTCGTCAATCTGAAGAGATGAGAGAGTTTACAGTGAGCAGCAAGCAAGAAAAATAACCAAAGACCTGCAGACATGGGAAATGTTATAAATGGTAAAAACCTTGTGACAGAAAAGCTGCCACGGCATCGACTTTCTTTACTAGTCTAGACTTCAGACGCAAACCACCAACAGAAAAGCAGTCATGGCGGGAAGGGGCGACAATCTGCTCTTTAATAATTTACCCTCCAAGTTTGATCTGCCAGTTTTACATTTGACTGATTTAGATTGGATTTAATTAGCCACAATAACACAATGAGGAGAGATGGAGAGAAAAACAAGCTCCAGACTATTTGATCGCAGACCTAGGACTTCTACTTCTACAGAAAAGGAACTAATTAGAAAATTCCACATAAAAAACAAACCTCTAACCCTCATTTAATTATCACTAAATTTACAGAATACATTTTGTATGCATGTTACAGATTAGAGGCTGGTTCTGGTCATAAAACTACCGGCAGTCAATCCAACTGGTTAAATAAATCATTAGCACGTAAAGGATGGCTTTCGTATGGCGTAACAGCTATTACATCCAAGCAGTCGTTACTTATCAGTATTTTAGACGTACTAATAATTTAATGAATTTTCTGCTTTGATCTGTAGAGCAGTGCTAACCCAACACTTAAGGACTGAATCAAGGCTACAAAAAGAAAAGAACATTTTTTTCAAAAGCTGATATAAACTAATTGGTGCAATGACAACACACAAAAAAAGAAATCATATTTTCTTTGGTTTGTAAGACATTTTTTTGAAATGACCCTTAAGTAAACAAGGTAATTTGAAATGTCATAATGAATTTCATTTGTTTCTAAAGGAGACAACTGATTAAAATCACTTTTAAAAATGACAAGACAGTAAGTCTCATTTGGGCAACAAATCTGTCGACTGCTGTTTTTAAAGGGATCATCATGCAGAGTAACTCCTACATCATGAATCCTTTTCTACTACTCTTTGATTCAACAATGCTACCTACCATTGTTATTACGATTTTACTAACATGTCAATGTTTAATGCATTTCTTTATATTGATGCACAGCGATAAATCAGTGGTTAGAATATAATCCAAACAACATGTAAATACCTTTCACTTTGTGCTACTTACATCATCAGATGAGAAGTACTGATCTATTATTTCATATGCCAGTTTGTAGATATCTTCGTTTTCATGATTTTGCAGCAGCTCAATTTTTTCCAGTCCTGCAGGACCAAATAGTTCATCAGTGATCAAACATGATGGGAACAATAGCCATTTAAAGATGACGCTGAATAAACCTACCTCCACATTCCTCAATGAGATTGGCAATCGTTTCCGCCTCGTCGTCGGCCATCTTCAGGATATTGCTGAGGCCGTCCAGAACGACTTGCACGACTTGAGCGTCTTTTACTGTGAGCAGGTTGCAGAAAGGAGGGATCACCTGCTTCTCTATGAGGTGCGCCACCTGACGACAACGCATCATAAATACATTAGTCACTTTAAAACAAAATGACACACACAGATATAGGAATATGATTCTATATATTATATTAAGCATAATTTATATTTTAAAATTAAAATCAGAGCTACAGTTAAAATAGCCAAAAAATGTAAAGCCTTAAGAGGAACAAAAAAGTAGTTTTCTGAACAAACCCTGGACAAAATAAAAACACGAACAAGCATGAGAACTAACGTGCACATCACTGTAGGATGCTCTACCTGGTCTTTCCGCCCACTTATCGTCAGGTTACTGATGGCCCAGGCTGCTTCTTTCTGAGTACCAAAGTCACCCTGAAATTCACACATTCAGAGTTAAGCTACTTTTTTTTTTCCAGGAAGGTTTTTTCCACAACTACAACTTGATCCAAACCTTGTCGAGCAGGTGGATGATCATGGAGACCAGCTTTGCATCAATGACAGCCTGCACCTGTTGCTGGTTACCGGCTGTTATGTTGGACAGGAACCACACTGCCTCCTAAAGGACACAGAGTGCAATTACAGCATTGAATCCTGATGACCTGGCACCTTTTCCTGAAATATTCATATTTTCTAGGCTTAAAAATAAATAAATGAAACCGATTTGTGTCTGAGATGGATCAGAATCCAGAGGTCGACCCAAATGAGCTGACCTCTGGTAGAGACCAGTGCTGTGGGCGGGGAGGGGGTGATTTGAGGCTCTAATCATCGTCCAGTCATAAACAAGGCCTCGTTTTTCAATGACTGGTCTCAGATGCACTCCGATATCAGCAGGGATATTTCAGCACCCTTTACTCCTCCATCCCATGATAACACATTCACTCTGACACACAAACACACACCTAAACCCCACCCACCCTAATCTATAGCTGACTACCAGTGGTCCATCTTCTTCACCGTCTTCCTCTTCATGAATCTTCCTGCTGTGAATTCTTACTATCAACTCTCTAATGCTCCCATTATCTCACACTCAACAGTCACACCTGCACAAAGTCTCAGATTTCATCATTTCCAGGCCAAAGGGGTAGATTGTGTTTTTTTGTTTGTTTTTTTTTTAAGTTTGTTGATGTGCAGAGTCAGAATGAGGACGGCCTTACCTTATTGATTTTCTCTTTAGGGTGGGTGAGGAGTGACGGGAAGTGGCTGAGGGCGTCACAGTTAAGAACCACCTGCGTCTGCTCATCTGTTCCAGTCACTATGTTGCCAACAGCCCTTAAAGCTGCAGTCTGGATGTGGAGAGGAAGCAGAAAACTGAGTTAAAAAAAAAGCTTCTATAATCCAGTGTGTGAATTGTTGCAGTGAGTATAGAGAAATAGTTCTCGAATAGTAGAGATGAGCGGAATAGTAGAAATAATAGAAATAGTGTAAACATCAGACCTTTCAAGAGGCCACTTATCTATACATTCTCTTTTATACTATTTTCACAACACCATGTAATTTCTGCCTTTCTAATTTTCCGCTGTCTGTATCACTGGAGGTGAAGTTTAATCCGTTAGGGGATCAAACTTTCCCATAATCGGAAAAGATGTTGCAACTACCTACAAAACAAGCTAAAACTTGTTTGTTTTTTGCAATGCCCCTAAATTTAGGCCATTTATTGTCCCACTAGTAGCTATAGTTTTCCTCCTGTAGTAGTGTTTTTTCCTATTTTTTAAACTATATTACTGAGAGTGACCCACACTTCCATTTACTAGAGTCAGCTTTCCAAAACCTGTGATCTCTGAATTGATTGAAAAGCTAGAATTTAGTTATGCAGACAAATATTTTGGCAGCAGTGTATACGACGTAAACTTGGCACAGCCTAATCTTAAATGATTCGATTAACATCCTGTTCTACGCCGCCTCGTTTCCTTTTCATACCTGAACTTTGACTTCATGATGGCTGAGTAGAGGTACCAGGTGAGGAACAATGCCAGAGTCAATGACCATTTGGATCTGCTCATTTCCAGCGTCTGTCAGGTAGGAAAGTGCCCAAACAGTGTCCACCAAGATCTAAAAGAAGAAAGATAATAATGATTAGTGCACCTTTTACATTTTAACAAAACTGAGCTTGTTAACATGAAATGTATCTGTGGCGAAATGCAGGTTAGAAGATCCGTTTACTTACACTGACGTCAGTGTGGTGGATCAGCACACAGAGAGCAGGCAGTATCTGAGGAGGAACAGCACCATTAGTGATCTGAAAATAACTTTATCTAAAAACTTCCAAACAAAGAAAAAAGGCCTCATCATCAGCAAAGCCTTATTTTCACATAAAGTGATATTTGTTAAAAGAAAAAAACAAGACCTTCCTAGAAACTAACAATACTGAAACTTCTATACACCCCGTTACTGACACCATACCTCTTGGATCGTCTCCATCGGAGGTGGAGGATCCTTGTGGCGGCACAGGTTGACCATGACCCAGGTGACGTTGCGGAGGAAGGTGATGGGAATGGAGGGACTGATGAAGGACAGCAGGGGCTTGACCACTCCCAAACTGATCACATAGTCTCTGCACTGTGGACCATCACCTGAACGCATAAAGGCAGAGGTGGAAGTCCTTTAAATATCCCAGCTCAACATCAAGGCTTGTAAGCTCGCCTTCTCCCTCACTAACTCAAAGAGTTCAGACAGCATTCATCAGTCTATCAGTGGTTACTCACCGATGATGTTTCCAAGGGCCCAGACCGCCTGTTCACACACATTCTGATGGGGAGAGTGAAGCAGCCTCAAAAAGAGCGGCACAGCATCTTCACAAAAGAAGAAAAAATAAAATGGGTAATGCTTTAAAAATAACCTCAAGATAAAGATCCTAAAGTACAAAAAGTTTAATTCAGGTCTGCAATAACCAACACTTAAGGTTCTCTGTACATGTTTAGGTTATAACAAATTTCTGCAAACTTTGTTTACAGGCTGGGTTCAATATCGTTTGGAAGTTCCACTAACGGGAACCATTCCTTATTCTTGAGGCGTTTGCATCTTATGATTTAACAGGGTATAATTTTAAGCGAGGCTGCATAAAACAGAGTATGCCACCATCTTCCTCAGACACACAAACACTGATTATCTCTAATGAGCAGCATGCAGTATTTTAATATCATTTTTTCCCAGTAGGTTTTTTAAACCCCCAGGAAAATGCAGCACAATAGGGAAAAAAAAAAAACCTGCATAGTGCCATGTTATTAAAATATTTAACTCTCCAGGTAGGAATTGAGCAGGTAAGTGTTTTAATCAATCTAAGCTCTAGGCTGAGGTTTAACAATCATCCAATCAAGAACTTATTGGACAAATTATTTAACATATCAGATGCATTTTAAATTATTAACTCTTTTAAGGTTTTTCTAAGTTTTAAAGACATGAATTTTCGATTTTTTTTTTTAAAGAAATTCTTGAGTTTCATAAAACACAATTTGGACACGGTGCATTTAATCATGACAACCGGTGATAACATTCCGGTACATGAAAGCACACTTACGGTGGTGAACTTCACCTCCCTCTGACTGTGCAACAAAAACCAAAGTTTTTGCCTTGCATTAACTTAAATGACTTAAATGTAATAAATATCTGCATCATTATAATAAATAAGCCATTATTGGATGATATAAAAGATCTGTTTTTAACTTTCATTGCATTCATTTGGGGTCAGGTAAAACATTTAAAAGGCAATAAACTGGAAGGAAGAGTATTAAAAATAGACGAATCACAGATCAGGAACACGTCGACATGAAAGATTTGGCAGATAACAATAACGGATATCAGAGGAGTTCCAACTTTTTAATTTCTGATATGCGGATATTTCGGCTGTTGGAACTCGGCAGGGACAAATGATAAAAATATAATCTGCATTTAAAAATAGTAAAATGCCCTTAAATGCAGCCCTATTAAGAACACCAGACCCGGTGTTCCGAATAGTGCTCCTTGTGTTCCTTTGATGTTGACCTGCTAATTTACATGATACCATTGAAAGCAACGTACGGACCTCAAGACACCGTGCCAGTGGCTTCTGATCCAACAAGCCCAAACAACTCTGTTTACAATTGTTAAACATGGCGCAGCACTGGTGAGCGGGATTCGGACAGATAAAAAAGCGAAACAATAAACCACACTTATGACATTGGTGACATCATCAGCCCTAAACTTGTGTGATGGTTTCACCAGAAATGCAGCAGCAGGGATACAGAGGCCAAGCATCAGGCCAGTTAAGGGTCAGACCCAGCCTTTTATGCCAGTGGAAAGGCAGCCACATGCCGATTGTTAGCGGACTAGCCCATGTTTGATAAACCCGGGTTAACCCACTATTTTCAGTGGGAAAGCAGCTTAACACATTGATTTTTCTCACCCCAGCTCTTTAGGTGGTAGTATCATGTTTAAATAGGGTTTTGGTCTCACAAAAAAAGGAAAGAGAAACTTCCAGCTAGTATGCAGGGTTATATACGCTAGTAGACATAAGCCCTTTTCCAACCATAGATTACAGTAAAGTACAACAACTCCGGACAATTAAGCTTTCAAGGTCATAAAAACCTGGAGTGAAACATCTGGATGCTTGTGGTTTGTCCAAAGAATAATCGACCTAACATCTCCATGGCAATATTGGTTGATATTAACACAATTTAGTTTTTGGCAAAATTGCTGAGCCTTAGTAGCGACTAACCTGCAATGATATAAATCGTTCTAATACGGCATACGGGCAAATGGCCTTAGCAGCCGCATCAAGGCAGCTCGACAGACTGCATTTTTCCCCGAGCCACTAACCATCCCAGACAGTGTTCAGGAAGCTGCCTGTTGCGCAATATTGCATGGCCATACAAACAGGCTGTGATATAGTGAGGGTTGCACTCCTGCAGGTCGCACAGCCAACACACTATTGGCATATATATACCAGTCTGACATGTAAAAAATCTGTATTACTATATTGTCAGTGATCGAAAGAATCACAATTTGCACTCATATTTTAAAATTAGGTTTCATATATCAATTATATTAGAAACAAGTGAATGCTAGGGCTGTATGGGGACATTCAGACAATAGTGAAAGGTGAAAACTATTGAATTTAGGAGGAAAATATTTTGTTTCAACTTCATTTTGGTTGCTGAAAGCTAGTCTGTCCCGGAGCAGGTTTTTCGTTAGGAGTACGTTACCATGGTGACTAGCCTTGCTAAGAATGAACCCGGCTTCCTGGTACCGAAAAGTCAGGGCTTGATCTGAGGGTGTGGTGCTAACCAAGTAATCCTGCTTTGTGGTAAAAGCCTCAAGTTCTTTTTATTACACAGAAAAACTAATACAGCAAACCCAAAAAATAAAAACAGGATTTACTTACTGGACTGAACCACAGCTTGGGTTTGCTCTGAGGTACCCGAAGCAATGTTGGTTAGAGCCCAGGCTGCTTCAAACTGGAGGGACGGGCTGCAAGAAAATGAAATCTACTGATTGATGAGGTACCACTAGCAGCAGAGATCAACAATATCAGCATGCTGATTAGTCATTCACCTTCTGGGGAAAAAAACTAGAGCACATTTACATAACAGCAACACTATTCTGATTTGAGTCACACAAAAACCTACCAGCTCATCTGCATCACATCGAACAGGATCAAGGAATGAGGCTAACTTTGACTATAATTATCAGCCATTTTTCTAAAATAAAAAATAAAGTGTGAGTCATTGCAGCAAACAGATAGCAATGCAGCTTACTTATCATCCCTGTCCAGGCAGTGGACCAGTATAGGAAGGATCCCGGACTTAATCAGGTCATCTATGGGGGGATTACGGTCACTGGATAACAGCTTCCTATAAAGAAAACAGGAAAGGAAGCATTACAAGATGGTGAAACCAAACAGAAAAAAAGAGCACACAGAGAAACAGATAAGGGATCTATCAGGGTCCAGATCGAGTTCAGATTTAACCCTCAGCTTTACAAGTTTAGCTGCTTTTTGATCCTTTCTTAACCCTGGATACACTACCATAGAATCTGCCTTTGATGGAGGTCTTATGAATGATGACAAATCCAAACAAATGATTAGGGATCCCAATCAGCCTTTTTTTTTTTCCAGAATGAATCTATTTATTGTCACTTCAGTTTTATTTACAACTGGAAATAAAAAATATGCCAAGTATCAGAAAGACGGTATTTGAAATGATAAATGTGCAAAGAATACCTGCTCAGTTCACCCAATAAGTGTAAATATCAGCCAGAAAGATGGAGAATCAAAGACTAATAATGCCAGTTCCACATGGCAAGATCTTAAAATTGCCATCCTGTTGAAAATTCAGGGGACCCCTAGGGCTGGGTACCGAACTTCGGTTCTTTTATGGTACCGACCGAAATGCTTCGGTTCTACCGAGTATCGAAACATGCCTCGACTTTCGGTACCAAGTTTCGGTGATTGGCTGTAACACTTAACGTGATTGCGTCATCCAGGAAAAATACACAGGTGGTCACGCCTACAGCCAGGGTTCATGTGTATCTGTTGTGAACTGGTTGCGAGCGTCATGGAACCCCTTTAAAATGCCCCCCAGGTCAAAAGTGCGTCTTCACTTTATTAAGACTGATGCCAATAGTGCGCAATGCAATACATCGTGCACGGAAATAATTTAGGAGCAGAAAGTTGCTCGGTGTTTGACTGCAAGAAGAGCGGACCGCAGCCAGCGCGACCATCCTCCTCTCAGCAGCCCGTGGGCAGAGCAAAGCCAGAGCAGAGTGAATAATGCTGCTTTCAAACTGGACGCAGCAGGAGCAGCAAAATCACATCTGCTGCTTCCTTTTTTGCTGCTTGTACCAGCTTCTGACGCGCGGCTGAAGAAGCTTTGCTGCTCTGGCTGCGTGGTCGAAAAGTGGCTCTGACGCGTGTTGGGCGGAGCTACTCTATCCTTTATTTGCCTTGCAGCTATATTTGCTGTGATCAGTGGGAATAAAGTAGTTTTATTATGTTTTTAAGTGGGAAAATCCACCTGAAAACTTAATCAGTGCAGTCAGTTCATCCTGCCTTCCAATATTTCTGTCGGAGCCGCTCAGACCCCCACATACCAGCGGTGCGCTGTCAGTAGGATCCCATTCAACAGGCTTGTTTGTCAGACATGGTAATTTTTCTAAAGGAAAACTGCTAAGTAAAAAGGTTCTCACAATGTAACAGTGATTAGACACTGATTTTTTTTTTTTTATGTAAGAGGAAAAATGTAAATGGAAAAATCAGAGCTTAAAATAAAACTCAAGATTTGTACTTTTTTATGTTGTGTAATTTTCTTTTTCTTCGAATTGAAATTATAAAACTGGTATCGAAAAAAGTATCGTTCAGGAACCGGTATCGAAGTGAAGGTATCGGTATTGGTACCGGAACCGAAAATTTTTGAACAATACCCAGCCCTAGGGACCCCACACATGAAGATATATACAATGGTAGATATAACAGTACTAGTGTGTGGTGTATAACCACACAGCAAGCATGACACACAACTGAAACCGATTTTACTCAGGAAAATTCTGATGCAAGACAGGAAATCTCACAAAACCTCAAGTGAACATAGCGTGATAAAGGAGCAATGGGAATATTTTGACTAATTTTAAGTATTAGAATAATGAAAAGTGTTTGGTAAAGGAAGGAACCACAAGAACTCTACTAGCTAGTCTGATGAGTTCCTCTCAGGAAACTTTCTGATTGACCACATGTCACAATCACCAGGCTGTGTTGTTGTCAAAGTTGGAGGAAACATCGCACACTTAAGGCTGATTTATACTCAGAAATGAGGTCGTCTGGATGTGTGTCGCAGTGAATGCAAATGTGCCCCTGCCACCGACACTCTGCTGCAACTCTCCAAGATTGTAGATGACTGCAGACAGTAGGCACCTGATTGGTCAAATCTACATCCGCTCTACACTATGCGCATTTCCTGTTTGGTACCTTACTGGCTTGTTTTGTTTGTATGACCGCCATTGTGGAAAACGACTCATTAAGTTAGACCAGCTAGAAGAGCGAGGTGCATGAGAACGCTGGGACCCTTTTTCCACCTGGATCCCCGCTCTTTGTCGCACTCATGTCCCTCCGTTGTCGCACAAATTTGCCCCCACTTCCTTACCGCCTCGGCTGAATCTAGACGCACAGCTAGTTCGTGATTATTTCTCTCTCGTTGTGCCGTGGAATAACATAGCACAGAACATGCTTTAAAATTGGACATAAATCAAAAATATCTGCGACAAGCTCACTGCAACACGCTGCTGCGGGAGTATAAAAAGCCCTTAACAGGCCCAGATGACCCAACATGCTGAAGAAAAACTCCATAAAACAGTTTGCAAAAATTTCCCTGTTTTGTTCAATATCTCACAGCAGCTTTAGTGACTGGTCTCAGTTAAAATAAGCTTTAAATCTATCAGATTACATCTCAAAAACAATGAAAAGGAGAAAAAAACGCCCTGCACTGCAGTTCTTAACAGAAATTTGGGATCAAACACCTATGGCAGCAGTTCAAACTCTGGTTTGAACTAATAGCATCAAATCAGGAACAGCATAACTATGATGTCAGTAATTAAAATTATGAAAGAACAAATGTGTAAAATATGAAAAAATAAATAAATAAATCAAAAGGATTGGGAATTCTGGCAGCTCTCAGCTTACTTCTCCTTTCCCAGCATCCATTAAACAGATGAGAGCGACTGCTGGTTGAGGAAAAAAAATTCAGCCCTCAAAATTGAAACACTGGGAAGCCATTTAACTTAAGTCAATCAGCTTGAATGAGAAAACCCGCTGAAACAAAGTGCTGGTGTCCAAGAGCAGAATCAGCAGCCAGAAGGGATTCATGATTGAAACCAGGCAAATACTTGGCATTGCAAAACAAAACCCCAGCAGGCTGCAAATTCAGTCAAAGGACTAATTTAAAAAAAAAAAAAACGCTAATGTGCAACATAACAGATATACTCACACCTTGACTAAAGCATCACTTGAATATACATTAAAATATAAATCCCTAAATAATTTCACGCTTTGTATTTCTGCGATGCACATTATTGCTGTAACCACACCAATATAACCTTACCTGGCAGCCTGAACAGCACTCAGCTGGATGCCCTGGTTATCACTGGTGGCATTCTGCAAGTCAAATATAGCAAAGTTATGGACTTTACTAAATTTAATAACTGCAGACTCCCATCCATCCCTTCTGAAGAGTATTTGTCTAAGAGCTTAAAAGGCACAACCCAAAAAAGTGTAAGAATAAAGAAATTGACTTACTTGTACTATGGTCTCGAGAGACGTGTTTTGCTACAAAAGAAAATTCCAGAGATTAGCTTCAAAATATAAAAAAGTAAACAACACAATCACTAAAATGACAAGATGAAGCTTAAATGAACCATTATCTGAATGTTTAATGATGCACTTCCAGACAAACAAGCTGCAAACAAATAGTCTGTTGCCTCTTTGCATTTTATGACCTAAGGTTGAGTACAGAGAGCAGATGATGGACCAGCCCAGGAGGAGGAAGCAGCAATTTTTATTTTTAAACAGAGCTGATTAAACCAATTACCTGAGGCATTATAAAATTCAATGAAATAGATGGGTAACAAGATTATTGACAGTTTGCCTCAAATGTTGCTTCCTACTCAATTTGCATGGAGTCCACTGTAATGGCCGGTTTAATCACCTGGCCGTGAACATGATTTTTTGATGGGTTAACATCCATCTGACAGGGTTGTTCCTCCTTTTCATACCAAATTGTTGCCATTTTTTGGACAATGTCAATAAATTTCCCTAGGTGGTTATGCATTTGACACATATACAGAGGCCTCAGTCCTCATACAAAGGTCAAAATACTAATCTCAAGTTTTGTTTAATTTCTATTGTGGAATTTCCGAGCTGTTTGAAAGAAAAACTAAGAAAAGTCTTAAAAAGCAAAGAGGAAAAAAGACCCTGCATCAGTCTGACACAAATGTACAGCCTGGCTTCCTTGTGACTCTCAAACAAACAGAACTCTAATATAAAAACTGTTTGCTGATAAATTAAAATAGAGGTTTTGGGGAAAAAGATCATTAAGATTAAAAAGCACAGATTAGAGGCTGTCTCTTCTTAAAATATTGAAAGGATCATCTATAAATGAAAACAAACATGTCAGTCAGAAAGGATAACCCAGCAGCTTTTCCATGGCAACTCTACAACCTTCACCAAGTCTAACCAGCATCATTTAGCTGATCTACTGCTAAAAGCAGCCAATTCTGAGGCACCCTTCCGAACCGTAAAGTAGTTCAAGTGATTGAATCGAAACAGCTGAGTGGACATTTTAATCTGGCAACGCCACCAAACCCAGAGACCTTTATCAAAGGTGGGAGTATTGATTGAGTCTTTTCTTTCTCTGACATTTTTAGTAGATAACAGACTGCTCTGATATTTGCCGCATGTTCTCAAAGACAGCCGCGGAGGAGTTGAGTGCAGGACCAAGATTATACAGCTAATTATTCAAAACTACAGATCAAATATCTCATTCTGCTAACTAAACAAACCATTGTTATGCAGCAGTAATGCTTGTGCCATAAATATTATAGTCTACAAAATACCAGAGCAATGCTTTCATTTGTAATTAAGGTTCCAGACACTACTGTTGCAAAAACAACTTTATATTTTGTGCAGTTTCTCTACAAATTAATATCTGTTGGTGAAAATAGCCTAAAACTTAGAAGACAAACAAGGTGAAAACATAGAAAAACAACAAAAACCTACAGATCTGAAATCTCCGTCAACATCAGAGTCCTCGCAGATGTCTTCATGGGGCACATTTCTCCTCTTAAGAAGGTGTTCGTCTCTTTTGTGCTGCGGCATGGAAAGCAGGGTTATTACTTCATAGTGCATTATATACAGACTAGCTGGGTAGTTATAATTTAAGCAAAATGACTGAGTAATTACCTTTCTGAGTTCCACCACTACTTCAGTCCTTTGCCGCCTCATGGTCTGTAAGAAAACACATAAATTAAACACATTAATCCCCCCAAAAATGTAAGTAAATCAGATTTAAAAAAACACTGCTTATACCTTAAAGGTAAAGCTTGTAATTGGTTAATGCACATGATAACCACAGTTTATGATAGTCTGACCTAATGCTACTCAGCTTTGGTTAAAACAGATTCTGAAGACACCTTAATTTTAAGAATGTATAATAATTATCCAGACATGTAATAAAGTTAGATTCCCAGTGCTCCTCCTTCGAATTTGGAAGCTTAAACTCAAAATGAAATGGAAATTTTTAAAATGGAAATTTACTTTCATCAGAAAAATCTTCAACTATAAACTAAGCAAAAGTAAAATATGGTAAAGATAAATCCTATGGAATAATTTGAGGCTAATAATTTCAATTTTTGAACAGAAAGATGGAAGGAATAATTTGAGAAAGATGTTTTTTGGTTTGTTTTTTTTAGTCAGGAATGGTTGACACAAACATATCCTGAATTTACACGATCTGGACTGCGTTCACACCAAAGACAACAGAGAAAGGAGAAAAAAATATCTGTTAACAATTAACAGATGTCAATTGATAACATCTACACATTCTGACTTGAACACAAGGATGTGAACATGAGTCGGTTCCCATGAAAAAGGTCCAATGGTGACACTCCAATGCTGTTCTAATGCTTAAAAGTTGTCTAGAGAAGCCTGAGAGGTTTTTCTAAATATACGGCGCATAAAGACTCACAAGTTACAATATTTTGGTTAATTTGTTTCAAAATGCTAGATTTATTACAATATGAAATAAAGCTTTTGGAATTTGGATTAAACCAACATTAACCCAATATTAAGTGTCAAAGAAAATATGTGTATCTAATAAGAACAACAAAAAACCAAAAAGGATGTGTTTTTTTTTCTATTAAGGCACTTTTCATTATAGCATCTCTGGTCATCTGCATTGTTTGCTCTGATGTCTTATCTTCCTTTGGACTCTTTTCTTCGAAATTTGCTCAGGCCAGTTGGCTGATAATTCAAGCTCAGTAACACCAAGGTCAGTAAATCAGCCTTTGGTGCCTCTAGCAGCATGTCCAGGCATCAAGGCTGGCAAGAGAATTAAGTCAGCGTCTCCAAAAAGGTTGTTGGCAGAAAGAAGCAATGCTTGCTGTAATATGTCCTGGTAGACTTTGTAAGAACACAGCAGACTAACCCCAACAGATGACCTGGCACCACAAATCCTCACTGAGTGCAGAAACGTCACTCTGGACTTCTAGTAATGTAGATTCTGTCCTTCTCCACTCTTCCTGTGATTACCAACTGCAGTGCAAACTTTACTTTAACCCGAAAAGATGACTTGGGATTACTGAGCAAATTTTTTGTTCCTTTACTTCTCTGTCCAGGTAAGATGCTTCTGATGTCGTCTTCTGTTCTGCATACGATTCATCTTTGAGCAAAAGCTCTTATTCACAAATTTCAGCCTCAATCCACTGCCTGCGATCTCCAATGAACTTCTGAATGGACTTTTCCCCTTAACAATCCCCTCTTCCACACTTTTCCCCTTCCTTCAATGATTGTGTATTTATTATTATTATTTTTTTCTTTCTGTGACACTGAATTTTGAGCTTTCATTTAAAAAAAGGCTTGAAATATTTCTCTCAATATGTAATTAATGGATATAAGCTTTATGTTTCCTTTTGTAAATAGCACAAAAATAATTAACTTTTCACAATGCTAAAATTTGTTTTACAAAGGGAAACATACCCTTTTCCGCCTGTTGCTATGGATTGCCATTTAGCTGGCTAAAAGAGGGACATTTAGTGTTCTAAAGCTTACATTAAGTCTTCTTAATTTTTTATTATTATGGGTAAGTATCAGATTAGTGAGAAAATTACTTTTATTTCATTTTTAATTCATGGGTATACATAACAGAATTCAATTTATTAATTTTTTATCAGTCTAGTTTTAAGTTTGAGAATCACTTTCCATCAATTCTTCCCATTTAAACATTTCTTGTGATCCAAAGATTTGAATTTATGGCTGAATCTTGAGGAGATGTGGGTAATCATAAGGTCTAAAGCTGTGTTTGTATTTGCAGGAGCTTTTCCAATTCGATAGCATCAGTGTTATGAGAGCAATCATATCGACAACATTAGCAGCAAGGAAGTTACATCAGTTATGTATCCAGTTCAGCCATGTGCTTAGACTATGAGGCCCTTAACATACAATTAATGACATCTAAATGAGCAAAAGTGGTTTTGGTTTCTGAACTGTTGCTTGTTAAGAGCTAAAGGGTGTGTTCTAAAACTTCCAGGTATCTCTAGTTGACAACACTGAACGGCGAAATGCACCTCCTAGCTTCGTGTTACGAACAGATAGCACTTGTCAAACAGGATGTATGAATAAATGGTAACCGAACACAACACAAACAAGCCCATCCAGCCAGATATCGATAGCGACCGGCCTCCATGAGACTCTGGCATACCGAGCTGACTGCAAATCACCTGGAAATGTATCGATCCGACGTAAGCTAGCATGTATAGCTTTAATCTGTCAATTATGGATTCAGACCAAAACGTAGGCGTTATGGTTTGAGACACACGCCATTTAAACGCGTAGTCAAAATGTAATCATTTATATCAACTTTACAGAAAGGCGACGATAGAGCTAAGAAGCTAGCTGGTTTCCGCCATTGTTTTTGATTATCGAGACGGGGGATGGGTGGAACTGCAGCTAGCATGGTGCTAAGCGGGTTAGCCTGCTGCAGTGCTAAAATGTCGGTCATCAAACTGACACGCTGATATCGCGACTGTGGAAATGCTGCCTTTCTAGCAGTATAAACATTTAAGTTTACCGTTTAAACTTTTAAAGGAATAGTTCATATTTGACACCGAGCTAAAAGGAGGGGAAATGATATGCTTCAGTTGAGCTAGCATGCCCCCCTCCTTCCTTATGGAGGGCCTAGCTCACCCAGCGGAGGTTTTTCTGACATGTTTCACTAGCAGCGCGGTCTGCTTGTAAAACGAAACCAACAACTCAAAACGTGGAGACGTCTTGAACCAGACCAGGACCCTTAAACGGTTCATATTCTAAAGTCCTGACCGGTTTCACTCCACGGAGCTCCCCGAGGAGTGGGAATTAGAAACGACGTCACAGCGGAGCCGAGAGGCAAACGCTGGCCGTGAGCGGAGCGCTAGCAACGGTGGTGGCTGGCAGCGGAGACTCCCCTCTGCACAACTTTTACCTCCAAATCTCTGCCCTTATTCTTGAAATTCTTCAGTCGCTGGTTGTCCAGTTTGTCGTTGTCAGCCATGTTAGCGGTTCTGGGTAATGTTGGATACAGTTATGCTGTTGAATTTAGCTGATGAGCTACCCCCCTTTTTCTGGTTCCCTTTTCGTAGCCTTTCGTTAGCAGACTATTTTTTGCTGCTGTTTCCGCGGTGCATGCTGGGAATGCCGGTGGAGGAGGGCGCTCAGGGCAGCCTGGCTCTGGCGTAAAGGAAGGGTGGGGAAACCCCCCTCACTCTCATTGGTTTCTCCGCTCACGTCTGAGTGCTGGGAACACCTCACTCTGTCAGGCAGAGGCCATGCGAAAGCCAGATTCTGAGATTAAAGTCGGAATTCTGAGATTAAAGTCGGAATTCTGAGATTAAAGTCAGAATTCTCAGAATAAAGTCCAAATTCTCAGAATAAAGTCAGAATTCTGACTTTTTTTTCTCATATTGTACTGAAATAAAATTTAAAAATCAATGAACTTTTTTTTCGGTGGCTCTAATCCTCTTCTGTTAAAATAATAACATGGGTGCACATAAATTAAAAAGAAATACATAGAATATATATGTGATGATTCAGTTAAAAAAGTTAAACTAGAGCTTATTCCAGTTAATTTCAATGCTAATGACCTACAGTCAATAAAAACAAAGGTTAATGAGTCTTTTTATGATAAAAAAAAACCCCTGCAAAATGAATCCTGAAGTGACTGGTGTCAAAGTCATTCTGCTGTTAACAGAGTGCTTTATCCACGTTTATTTATTGAAGGTTTGGTGAAAGGAAAAAGTCCATGTGCAACAGGACAGTTGAAAAATACAATCCGCTCAAGTGCCAGGAGAAGATTCCCAGTAGCAGACTCTGGTTGGAGTTAGTGCTACAAGACCCACAGACTTATCCAGGATATAAATGTCAGGTTACTTGTGAAAAGTATCTAATTTGGGCCTGTGGAGAAAAATTACTTGATTTGAGCAAAGCGTTTTTTTTTTACAATGACAGTAAATTTTATTTGAAAAGTGCTGCTTTTTAGCAGCAAGAACTAAAAGGCCAATTCTTTCCAAGCTGTTTGAGCTCCAGTATGAGTTTTCCAGAATCAGTGTCTTAAGATTGCATACCGCCCCATCAAAAAGAGAGGTTGATCTGTTATTGGGGTTAATTTTAGGGGTAAAGTGTTGCATAGACAACAAAAAAAAATAAATAAATCCTACTTTTTAAGAAAGAGCCACACTTTTGGAGAAATTTTTTTTTTCATATATTTTTTAAATATATTGAAATATTTATATGACTTTTGCTAATTGAACTTTCCTAATTCAATGACATCAATTTAAATCTTTATATAGTCCTTATCTAAAACAAAGTTAAAAACAAAGCTTTTTACCTGAAAGCAAATGTAAGAACTGACATAAATCCTTCTTTGGATGTAAAATCAAACCAACACAAAGAGAAGAATACTTAACCAGATTTGTATTCTAATGTTAAGAGTTAAGGATGCAAACATTCAGCATCTAACAGTCATCTTTACATGCACTATTCACTGTAGTTTTAGTTGGTGATCTTTAATAGTACAGCTTGTATCACTGAGAAAGTACCGTAACAGAAACTGTTAATATTTTAATAATTAAATGTAAAGGTAGATTTCTCCAAATGAATCAAATAGTCCAGCATTTCTCACAGAATCATTTTGGTTATATTCCTCAGATGAAGACAATAAATCTGCAGCACAATGACATGTAGGTCCTTGCAGATTAACCCTGATGGTTATGTTTACATCATTATTCAGCCCTACAGATGCCTTGTTTAGATGATTTGCAGATGAGAGGGACAGAAGAGCAACACTGAAACTTAAAAAAATCATAAATCAGGGTGAACAGACCCCATCAGCTGCCGAAGAGAATTGCTTGTTTAACTGATGTGAAACTAAAGCCTTTGGACCTCATCTTTGCCCTAATGTCCTCTTGAGTCTGTCTGAGAGGAGTTTTCATCAGATAGACCATTCTTCTAAAGCCTTCTTGAAGACCCATTCCTGTAGTGGCTGAGCAGGGCTGGATGAACCACGCCCTGCCTTCACAGACTCTCCTCAAGTCCAGTTTCTGGCAGAGTCTCTCTGGGCTCAGAGCACCTGGAAGGTCCTGTTTGTTGGCCAGAATCACCAGAGGAACTCCTTTCAGACTGTGGTATTTCAAGATCTAAAGCATAAAGACAGGGAATTAGAACAAAAAAATATTGTTATTTAAAATACAAAATAAACCCATGCACATATGGGGCACGAATTAGTTTCTGTAGTTTAATGGTGTGATATTTTTAATTACAGCAATACTTTTTCCATGGTCGTTTCATTTCTTGCTGTTCTAATCTCAGCAACCTTTTCCCCAGCACTTTTGTAATATTTTTACTTTTAATAATTAATTTCACCCGTATCCAATTCGTAGTAGTTATCTTATCAGGCCTCGTTACTCTCGTACAACTCAAACACAGTTTAGTGTATTATACAGAGGATCAAGGATATAGAACAGTCTTCCCACATCACTGACAGATCTTTCTAAAGAACATTTAAACGGAGAGTAAAATTGCTGCTACTACGGTAAGTTGTCTGAATTTTCCATATGGATTTGTGGTCTAAATTATATTTTAATTTGTTTTAAACAAATATTTTTTTTATTCTCTTTTTATGTTTTTGTTGTGAAAATAAAATAAATAAAAAAAAATAAAAACCTCTCACCAATGCAGTTGATGAGACCGAATTTCCAACATTCAGTATTTTAACCCTACACTATGCTCAAAACAGAGGTGATATAAATTCTTGTTTGTTTGGGTTTATTTGTAATCATTCAAATAATTAGTCAATAGAAATCAGTTTCATTTATCTAAACATATTGGTAACATTGATTACTAGCTCTTAAAAAGTTTTTCTTACATTTTCTCATTTCACTTTAATTGTAATTGTAATCCTGAAAAGATCTCAATCCTGAAAAACTTAGAAAACCTCCTTAAGTTTTAATTTGTGACAGACATAGCTCAATGCATTAATATAAAAATCCCTCCTCTAGACTGATTTTTATTTCATTGTAGTATAGAGTGTTAGAAACATTTACGGACATTACTATAGTTCAACCTTTGGTTCACTGGCACATATTTTATTAATAGATTTTTATGTTATAAAACCAAGTTTTTTCATTTTAAGTATGATAGTTAAAAACTGTTGCATAAACAGAAAATTAAAGGTTGAGAAAACTGAAACAGCATTTATATTCTGTTGATCATCTAAATTTATTTACCATTTTAATGGAAAATGATTAAATCCCCAATGAATTAAGTCATATTTTAAGCTCTTCTGAAAAAAAGGGAGCAAATAAATATTGACAGGTTGTGTTACCCGATAGAGCTCCTTTCGGGCCTCGTCCAGCCGCTTCTCATCCCCGCTATCAACCACAAAAAGCAGTCCAGCTGTGTCCAAGAAGTGGTGCTTCCAGTGGGGCCTCATCCTTCTCTGGCCCCCGACGTCCCACACCGTCAGTCCAGGGCTCCTCCTGTCTGTCTCCAGCATCTCCACGTTGAAGCCCACAGTGGGAACGGTGACAACGTTCTCGTTGTACTTGAGCTTGTAGAGCAGGGTGGTCTTCCCTGAGCCATCCAGACCCAGCATAAGGATCTGCACTTGTTTCTTTAGCTTGGATCCATGCATACCCATGTCTGGAGAGTGTAATTTATATGTAGGCTATGCTGTCTGCACTCTGAGTCTGCACTTGGTGGTGTGTCTGGAGTCTTATGAGGACTAAGTGATCCCTCCCCTCTACAGAGATACAACTACGTTGATTTCGGTACTGCTATTTATATCGTACATGACAATGCAGCTAAGAGGGAGGGCATGCAGGCATTTAACCAGCGCAGTCACTGCAGCCCCACTGCACCTGTCCCAGGTCATCAAGCACATTACCAGCCAGGAGGTCTGTACTGCTTAGTGGCTGGAGGTTCAACTTATTGACATCATAGTTATATTTTAGTTGCACTGGCTAAGAGATAAATACAGTTATCTATATATTATATTCATCTATTAGTAAGATTCTGTTTATAATGGTATCCATCTCTATACTTATTCAGTAGAAACCCATGTCCTGCATTTATGGAACCATTATTTATCCTGCACTTGCTGCTATTGCACTTCTGGTTAGACCTAAACTGCATTTCGTTGCCTTGTACCTGTACCTGTGCAATGACGATAAAGTTGAATCTAATCTAATCTAATATATAGATTTCAGTTCCTGCAATATGAATTGTTAGGAAAACACATTTGGACAAAGTCCTTGTTTGGAAATTATTGTGAAAACAGACCCTTAAATACATACAGTTTTTTCTTTTAAATTAAGTTTCTTTCACATTCATTCTCTTTTAAACTTTTTATATTATGCCACATTAAAACTGCAAATGTAGATATATTTTTGTAAAATTTAATTTGACAATTACTTAGAAATGCTTAGTTGGGAATCGGATGGAAATTTTTAAAAATAGGAATATATTAAAAAAAATCTATTAAGTATTTTCTTCTCTCAACTGATACATTTTCCAGTATGATGTTTGAACAAGACCTCATGTGATGTTCAAAGTTTAAAACACTGATTTGTAAACTAACTCCCCTTTATTTTCCACTAATCTCTAATCTCTCTGCTATATGATTAAAACCATTATTGAAATTAATTTAGAGTCAAAAAGTAAACAAGGTCTCAACTTCATTTGCAACAGACTTTATCATTTAGCCCATTCTTTCAATTTTAAATAGATTGAGTGATTTTCTTTAAAATACTAAATCGCCAGCCTTTTATTAGCAGCTGTATTATAATTGTTAAACAGAAATTAATAGGTTTAATGCTTTATACTTTAGTTAAAACATACGATAAAGAGGGGAACACAAAACAAAAGCAGTTTATTTATAATTTCCTTATGACTTTATTAGAGCTCCCTTTCCCCTGTCCAGGATTAAATGTACATTACATTTAATAGGTTTTTTTTTTGGGTTGATGATTTGTAACATTTTCCAAAGAAAAACATGTTTGCCATTTAAGCTACAAATAACCTTCATATATATATAAAAACGACATTAAATGACAATCATTGCTATAATGACACCATTATGATTTATAGCATTTTTTTTTTTTTTTTTTTTTTACAGTTCATAAAAATCAACAGGAACAAATGCCACAGACATTCTGTTAGATACATTATCATCATTATTAAGGAAAACACGTGAACTTTCATATGGTTCTTATCTGTGTGGCAAACGGCATGTTTGGGTGATAACAATACACTCCCTGTATGTACATTCATCTTTTAGTCCCACGTCTCTCAGAGACGGTCTTCGATGCTCCATGTTTGAATTTACAAGATATGACATTGAGGTGGAGCCCTGTGTGATTGCCTGCTTAAAAATCATGAAACAGGAGGACAGTTTTGGCAACAGAACATAAGGCAACAAAACTTATTCAAAAATCTGTAAATCTGTTCAAATTCAAACTTTTGTCTTGGAAAAGGAGAAATTGTAATAAAAAAAGTCACAAAATGACAATCTCTCACATTCAGCATAATACAATTTTATTTATTGTAGAAATAACCAAATCATAGTGTAAAAGTTAACTAGCATGTCTATCTTCTATCTATGTCTCAACATGGAATTAGGAGTTGTTGAAAATATGTTGCCACATTTGTCTTTATTATGATCAGTTAATAATATCCGTGTATCAGAAAGAAAGTGAAATCTTATGGACAAATAATAAGCTGTCAGCAGTAATGAGAGGTATTGCATTATTAATCCACTGGGTATTAAAGATGACCTTAAATCTCTCTAGAAAGCTGTGTGTAAGATATTACAAAGCTGTGCTTAGACAGCAGAGCTCATCAATATCAGCTGAGAAAGCTGCAAACAAGACAACAAATTAGGGCTGAAATTAGTCACAAGAAACTGAACGCACAAAACTAAGATAATTCAACTCAAACAGTCACCCAATTTTGCACCACTTTAAATAAATGTGATATAAACATGTGGTCAGTTCTATTGTTTTACAGGTTAGGGGGATTTTTTTAGTAAGCATATGCAAAAATTAGGGTTTGTGTTCATGAAAAAAAAAACATCTAATAGATATTCAAAAGATTCATATGTATTTAATAAAAAATTGCAACAATCTATATTTTAAATTATTTTAAAATGAAAAACGATGTTGAACATATAAAATATTTTATGAAAAGGAAAATGTTAATCACATTTATTTTCAGATCTGACTTCAAAAGCAAACTTTTTGTGTTTTTCTTTAAGAAATCTGCCTTCATTCCTCCTTAAAAATAAAAAAATAAAAAAATTTTCAAATTCAAGATTTTTTGATCCACAACTGCGTGTATTACTGCAACCCTGCACACAGTGTGTAATACATAATGGCAAGCCTAACTTTAACTCTGTTTTTTAACAATATCAAGACATTGGAGGATGGTGAAGAGAGGTTTGAAGGGCAAAGTGCTGGAAATATCTGTGGTGAAAAGTTCTCGCTCCAAAAGTTTCTCCTAACTGATTCCCCTATCTAACTTCTTACTTCTTTTCCCCCATCTTGCCTTTAAACTTGACCACCATGACGGTGATGTTGTCGGGGCAGCCGCGGTAGAAGGACTGGAGGACGATACTTTTAGCTCCGAAGTGTGGCTCGTCCAGTCGCTCCCTGATGAAGCGAACCGCCTCCTCGTTGCTGAAGGTGTCCCACAGGCCGTCTGAAGCCAGGATCATGAACTCAGGCTGCAGCTTGTTGAGGTCAAAGGACATGATGTCGGGATCGGGGACGATCACGTTGAGGTTTTTCAGCGGGTAGTCGCCCAGAGAGCGGGACATGGCAAGGATCCCCTGGACGCGCCACGAACCGTTGAAACTGATGAAACCTCCTGAACAGTAGGCAAAGAATCAGGATGAGTGATGGAAATGTGGGTTAGAAGGAGACGAGGAGGTAGGGATCAACGATAAGATGAAGGAAAAGAACACAAAGGTCAACTTCTCACCACATCTAAAACATCGGTTCCTGAAATAGCAGCAAGAATATTAACTAATCATTGTCACTGACAACATTTTTGTCACACAATTGTTTGTGTTGATTATGTTCAGCTGGTAAAACAGCTGTGTGCCGTCTCTAGTGTTAACAGATCTGTAAGGAGGGAAATGCAATGATGTAATAATCAGATAAGATGGGAGATTTCACTACTGGGTCATAAAACCCTCCTTAGTGAGCAGTGCTAACAGCAGGGGTTTAGAAAGATAATCATATAAAGAAAAAAAACATTTATTATTCATTTCTAACCCCTCATGGATATTGACTAGCATGTTTCAAAATAATAATAAATACTCACTCCTTTGTTGTCATTATGCAATTTCTATTATTTTTTATCCCTTTCTGAAATATTCAAATAAATAAAAAATAAAAAAAAATTGCAAAAGATTTAAGGTTTAGATCTCAAATAGGTATAACTAGCAAAGCAATATAACAAACAGATATATAACAGAGGTATGGGTCTTAAAACCCACATGTTTCAAATTTCAATTCAGAAAAGTCCTCAAAATCCTAAAATAGGAAGAAAATAAAATCCAAAAGCCATCTATGAAATGTAACATTTTACTGACTGGTATCATTTTACTATCTGAATCTAACCATACCTCAATTTGAACTAAAAGTTAATTTTACCCAAACGGGATCGTTATAATGGGATATAATTTAGTTTGTCCTGTCAAGGGCTTTTCAGCGGACTTTTCGGTATGAACTGAAGATATATAGAAAACATGAGTAGAGCTGCAACTAATGATCAGTTGTAATCAATTAATCTGGGGATTATTATTTTAATTAATTGATTATTTTTAATTTGAAAATATGCCCCTTGAATAATTCTGAATATAGCATATTATATATATATATATATATATATATATATATATATATATATATATATATATATATATATATATATATATATATATATATATATATATATATATATATATATATATATATATATATATATATATATATATATATATATGCCTTGCAAAGTGTTCAGCCCACTTGAACTTTAATATTATTCCACACTTTAGGCTTTTTTTGTGAAAATTCAACAAGCGGGACACAATCATGAATTTGAACACAATCTCTGTGATATTTTTAATTTTTAAACAAATAAAAAAAAAATGAAAAATTGGGTGAGCAAAATTATTCAGCCCCCATTAGTTAATACTTTGTAGAGCAACCCTTTACTGCAATTACAGCTGAAAGTCACTTGGTTTGTCTCAATCAGTTTTGCACATTGAGAGACTGACATTTTTGCCCATTCTTCCTGTAAAACAGCTCGAGCTCATTGAGGTTGGATGGAGAGCGTTTGTGAACAGCAGATTTCAGCTCTTTCCACAGATTCTCGATTGGATTCAGGTCTGGTCTTTGACTTGGCCATTCTAACACCTGGATATGTTTATTTGTGAATCATTCCAGTGTATATTTTTCTTTATTTTTTGGATAATTGTCTTGTTGGAAGATAACTCTCTGTCACAGTCTCACGTCTACTGCAGACTCCAACAGATTTTCTTCTAGAATTGTCCTGTATATGGCTCCATCCATTTTTCCTGTCCCTGCTGAGAAGAAGCAAGGCCAAACCATGATGCTGCCACCACCATTGTTGACAGTGGGGATGGTGTGTTCACGGTGTTGAGCTGTGTTGCTTTTACGTTTTGCATTGCAATGTTTGCATACTGTTGCCATAAAGTTTAATTTTAGTTTAATCTGACCAGAGCACCGTCTTTCACATGTTTGCTGTGCCCCATCTCAGCTGTAGATCTCTGCAGTTTACCTACAGTGGTCATGGGCCTCTTTTGCTGCATCTCTGATCAGTCTTCTTCTTGTTTGAGCTGAAGGTTTAGAGGGGCGACTGACTCTTTGTAGATTTCCAGTTGTCTGATATTCCATACATTTCAATATTATCGCTTGCAAAGTGCTCCTTGGGATGTTTAAAACTTGAGAAATCATTTTGTACCCAGATCCAGCTATGAACTTCTCCACAACAGTAACTCAGACCTGCCTGGTGTTTTCCTTGTTCTTCATGATGCTCTCTGTGCTTTAAACAGACCTCTGAGACCATCAGTTAGCAGGTTTATCTATAAGGAGATTTGATTACACACAGGCAGATTCTACTTATCATCAGTCATTTAGGTCAACATTAGATCATTCAGAGATCCTGACTGAACTTCAGGAGAGAGTTTGCTGCACTGAAAGAAAAGGGGCCGATTCATTTTGCTCACCCCACCCTTTAGTTTTTTTTATTTTTAAGTTTTTTTAACTATAATTATATATTCATGAATGTGTCCAAATTATATTTTATTCTCCATAGAAATCATACTTTTGTATCTTTATTTTTGAAGTTGGAAATGTGGAAAAAGTTTGAAAAGTTCAAGTGGGCCAAATACTTTCACAAAGCACAGTATAGAGGCAAAGTAGGTTTTTTTTTTGTCTGAAATTCAAAATATAAATATTTGTCATACTTTGGCCTAATTTTAGCTTAAGATTTATTTTGTGAATAGCATATTACAGAGTCTGTTTACTCCCATTAGTAACTAATGGATTAATAAAGTAGTTGACAATTTATCAAAAATCTGTTTGAATTAATCAAATTTATTGTTTTTTCCCTAAATCTGAATGGAACATTATTTATATTTTCCCTGTCTATAATAGACTTTTCAAGTTCCTACAGCTTTTCAATAAAACAAATCCTAACATTCGTACTGATTGAAAGGATTTCCTTATTGATTAAGTTTGAAATTGATTTGGTCTGAAAATATTTTGGTTCTTCAAGCCAATTCTCCAAAATTCCACTTTTTTCTTTTAAATTTGGAAAAGAAATCTTTGTTTTATTCCATTTCCCCTTTTTTGTGAGGAAACAAAAATGATCAGATGCTTTGAATTCCCGACCCAGGTTTGTAGCCTAAATGAAGAAATTGCGTAAAACTATGAGAACTCATTGAAAAACAATTTCTTAAAACATATTTATCACACTGTAACCCATTAGGACCAAAGCTAAGCTAAGTCGAAGGCTGTGATGTTCTTATGCAAACCTGCTTAATTATATTAGCAAGCCCCCAAAATGAAATGTACCTTTCCAAGTTGAACCTTTTTTGACTCTATGATCATATTTTGCCATTTACATATAAAACATAATTGAATGTGATGTGTTGTACTTTACCATTGCTCTTATAGTGTTTAGTCTCAACTGTGTATGAAGGATGTCATTTAGGATAAGAAAAAAACATTTTAATAAACATATTCAGCATACAGACACTATATAAATAATATAAATTATTATTTTTTCATTACTAGTCCTGTTGACCAGTTTGAATGAAATTGTTTTAATCTGCTTTTGTATTTTCTCTGTAAATTTCACACCTTTCTTTCTACCCAATATCTATGAGCCGTTTATTTGCTGAACAAGGATGATTTAAGAGTTGGACTTTAGGTTTTGCATTATACAAAAAGCCCATTAGATGGGGCTGTTAAGCTTTCCTAAATTTTCCAAGTCTCCCCTGAATGGCAAGCATGCAGACACACACCTTCATAGGACTGATATCATGTGCCCAATCTCCCTGATTAATACTGATTGTTAACACTAATCACAGACAAATATATTCATATTTTGCTGCCAACAACTGAGCCTCTGATCCAGTTAAAATTGAGTCGTTTGATCAGTTACTCTGATGTAGATGAGCAAGATGCATTGCTTTGCACCGTGGCTCATTTTTCTTACCAGCCTTCTTGATCCTCTTGCGTTCCTTTAGCTGGTAAGGTTTGTGGTCATGTGACAGAGGAATGGCGTTGCCATCTTTATCGCACAGAACTCCCCGCGAGTCTCCGACGTTGGCCACTATTAACTCCTTATCAGACAGCAGAGCCACCAGACATGTAGTGCCTGCAGCCAAAGAAAGGAAAAAAATTTAGAAGATGATGAGAATCAAACATGACTGTCTCTCAAAATGTTACATGTCAGGAGATCATAGACTGGAGTCTGGAAGATTTGTCTTCAGGGTAGGATAAATGCCTAAGAAATTTCAAGGCTGTCTATCAAACTGTTGCAGAGAGATTTTGATTTCTCCAAAGTGATGGTGAACCTGAAAGCAGATATGGCTTTAACATCAGTGTGGATATCCATAAACCTATTTGGGATGAATCCTTTTACCCTGATAATTACCTAAAGCTCAGATACAAATGAACTCTAGGATCAAAACCACAGATTGTTTAATTACAAGAAAATCAATATAAAACAAATACTACTGTCTACTGTCAGATACTATAGTCTACTGTCGGATAAAACTAATTAAGCTTTAAGAAACAAGCTGCAGATACAAGAAAGACAACAAAAGCAGGCACGAAAAAGGCAAATGTTTTCGATGAATGATTCCATCTTGTGAAAGTCCTGAAATGTTTTTGTTTCTCTTTCCTCTCTTTGTTTAGCTTCCCAGCCAAACAGACCCCCGAGTGTAGGCTTAAAATCTGAGGCCTGTTGTATGAGATCCAACGTCCCGTAGAGACAGAACAGATCTCCACATTTGGCAACGTGCGCATCCTAAATAAAGAAAACTGCAAAGTGGACGAGGGGAGAAAAAGTAAATATCAGAAAGAAAAAAAAAAAGAGGGAAGAGAGCAGGAGGTCTCACCACATGGGGCTGGACCACCCAGGCTAGAGGAGGATCGGGGAGATACAGCACACAAAAACACAGAGGGGGGAGAAAAGAGGGATGAGTGGCATGATTAGAACAGTTTAAGAATTTAAAGTTGACATAGTGATTAACCGTTAAAGCAAAGGGCCTTCAAACCAAATGACCTTTCTCAACCTTCATCTGCACACTACAGGGCATTTTATTGGGGGTTTATGTGACAGACCAGAACAATGAAGAGGATAACTGGGAAAATTATTGGAATAAATTAATTTGAAATTAATTTGATTTTTGGAGGATGAGGTAAATGCTGCTGAGGTAGTTATGTCACTCTCCAAGATGAATAATTTATTCTTATATGTACTGTCTTTGTTTCATATGATGTAAAATTGAACAGTTGATTCAAAAGAGGCTTGTCTTGACTGATTTATTGTTTGCCTGCTGGCATGGGAGCATCTTAGCATGGCATGATGCAGCCACCACCATGCTTCATGGTGTTAGTGTGTAGCAATGAGCAGTGCGATCACATGCAGCCTTTTATATGAAGGCTAAACAGTTACATCTTGGTCTTAGAGTAAGGTCTTCGAGATGATAACTGAACCAAGAGAGGAATTATTTAGGAGGCTTTTTCCAGCAATGACCCCCTTCAATCTGCTGAGATTACAGGTCTTGTGTGCTTTTGACTTACTCCGTTGAGGATTACAAATGCCTACAAGTCACACCTTTCACCTGACATCTGCTGATCACTTTGTCAAGAATCTAGTGAAAACATTTAGTGCTTTTATTGAAAGCAACGTGGTTTTTGGAGTACCCTTAGCATGCCATGGTCAGCGCTCGTTTCTGCTGCTGCACAGAATCCCATATTACCCATCAGAGTTCAGACTGGTTATTAGTTTATAAAACAGGTGGCCGTCAACCTCAAACCTTCAGTTAATTTTATAGATAAGATATCGAAAGAGGTTTCCTACCTCTCATTAAATTGGCCGAGTTGTACTTTCAGCAATCTGCTCTTTTCAACAGATACTCTGATTTAGGCTGAGGGTCTCTGCAGCTACTAAGAAACTTTGACTGTTTCCCTGATCTGATTAGTAATCTCCTTGTGTGGTTGATGAAGTTTTGGTAGATGGCCATCATGGTCTACTTGAAATTAAGAAAATTCAGTTATTCACAGGTCGATGGATTGTAATACTGGTGATGTTGTTTTACAATCCTACTTAAACTTCTCCACCAAACAAAAACAGGATAGTTGGCCTAAAACTGGTAGAAAAACTAAGGATGATGTTATTCATCTTTGAGTTAAATGAAAATATAATACAATGACTTAAACGGAAAAAAACTGTGAAAAATAAGGTTTTTTATATATATATATATATATATATATATATATATACTGACTTGTGAAGATATTGATACCACAAAATGTAATATGAATATGAATATTCATGTTTCATCACCTTATGCAGCTATAAACCTGCTGCACAGGTTTATAGCTGATGCAGCAGGGTGTCTTGCTTTTCAGCTAATTAACCTTATCTTCATCACCATGGGAACTAGATAATATCCCATGGTGATGATGGAGATAATAGACTGAAGTGCTTTATGAGCACACCCTTCCCCAATTAGCTCAGCCATGCCAGGCATACATTCAGTATTCCCCATTAGGATGGCACTAAGGTCCACATGCCCCCAGCGCTCACGCCATAATTAGCCCAAGTTGGACAGGAAACCCCTCAGCACTCCGATAAGATTAATATCTCCTCAACAGTTTTACTTTTCCTCTAACTGGCACCATTATGGCTATTTATTCAGAGCTGACCATCTCTGAAAGGCTGCTTTAGAGCCCTGGCGTAGCTCCAATCGTGTTCTAATTGGTTGAAAAATAAGATGAAAATGGCTTTAAAAAAGCTCACTTTCAACTAATTTTATTTCAAAGAGGTCTAGCAGCTTTTAAAGGGTGGTTAAACATTTCCTAAACTTGCTAAATTAAAATCATTATAAATGTGTGAATTAGTGCAATATTCTTATTGCAGGCGTATTTGTGGGCTATGATATATCAGAAGTTATAAATTTAAACTCCTCATCTCAGGAAGAGCATAGGGGAGTGATGTTTAAAAAGATGCGAGTTAGTCTCTAACAGTATCAATGCAATATTCTTATATCAATGCAATATTGACAATGTCAAAATCAGTCTGAGATAACTGTAAAAGTATTGGTTAAATATCTGTTTTTAGACGCCTGCATTACAGCAATTTTAAGAATTTCTGCTTATGCTTTGAGTTATTTTAAACTTTGATCTAATCAATTGAGATTGTCCTAGAAATCTTATGGTCAATTGTGCTTTTCAAACTTGTGTCATGCTGACATTATATAGTGAGGAAAATAAGTATTTGAACAGCCTACTATTTGGCAAGTTCATCCTCTTAGAACTCATGGGGGGTTTGACAGTGTGATTTTTTTTTACTATTTATTTGTATGATACAGCTGTAAATAAGTATTTGAACTCCTCTATATTAGCTAGAATTCTGACCCTCAAAGACCTGTTAGTCTGCCTTCAAAATGTCCACCTCCACTCCATTTATTATCTTACATTAGCTGCACCTGTTTGAGGTCATAAGCTGCATAAAGACACCTGTCCACCCCATATAATCAGAGAAGTATCCAATTACTAACATGGCCAAGACCAAAGAGCTGTCCAAAGACACTAGAGACAAAATTGTACATCTGCACAAGACTAGAAAGGGCAACGGGGAAATTGCCAAGCAGCTTGGTGAAAAAAGGTCTACTGTTGGAGCAATGTTTAGAACAGGGAAGAAGCTAAACATGATTGTCAATCTGCCACAGACTGGGGCTCAATGCAAGATCTCACCTCATGGTTTCCCAATGATCCTATGAAAGGTGAGAAATCAGCCCAGAACTACAGGGGAGGAGCTGGTCAATGACCTGAAAAGAGTTTCCAAGGTTATTGTTGGTAATACACCAAGACGTCATGGTCTGAAATCACGCATGGCAGGGAAGGTACCCCTGCTTAAACCATTTTGATGATCCAGATGAGTCATGGGAGAAAGTCGTGTGGTCAGATGAGACCAAAATGGAACTTTCTGGTCATAATTCCACTACCCATGTTTGGAGGAAGATGAATGATGATGAGTACCATCCCAAGAACACCACCCCTACTGTGAAGCATGGGGGTGGTAGCATCATGCTTTTGTAGGTGTTTTTCTGTATTAGGGAGAGGATGACCGGGGCCATGCATTTTAAGATTTTTGGGATCAACCTCCTTCCCTCAGTTAGAGCACTGAAGATGGGTCAAGGCTGGGTCTTCCAACATGACAATGACCCAAAGATCACAAACAGGATAACCAAGAAGTGGCTCTGGAAGAAGCATATCAAGGTTCTGGTGTGGCCTAGCCAGTCTCTAGACCTAAACCCAATGGAGAATATTTAGAGGGAGCTCAAACTCTTGTGTTTTTCAGCGATAGCCCAGAAACCTGACTGATCTGGAGAAGATCTATGTGGAGGAGTGGGCCAAAATCCCTCCTGCAATGTGTGCAAACCTGGCTGAAAAACTCTGGTGTTCAAATACTTATTTGCAGCTGTATCATACAAATAAATAGTAAAAAAAAAATCATACATTGTGATTTCTGGATTTTATCTCTCACAAAGGACATGCACCTACGATGACAATTTCAGACCCCTTCATGATTTCTATGTGGGAGAACTTGAAAAATAGCAGGGTGTTAAAATACTTATTTTCCTCAATGTATGTATATATATATATATATATACACTATATTGCCAAAAGTATTTGCTCACCCATCCAAATTATTGGAATCAGGTGTTCCAATCACTTCCATGGCCACAGGTGTATAAATTCAAGCACCTAGGCATGCAGACTGTTTTTACAAACATTTGTGAAAGAATGGGTCGCTCTCAGGAGCTCAGTGAATTCCAGCGTGGAACTGTGATAGGATGCCACCTGTGCAACAAATCCAGTCGTGAAATTTCCTCGCTCCTAAATATTCCACAGTCAACTGTCAGCTGTATTATAAGAAAATGGAAGTGTTTGGGAACGACAGCAACTCAGCCACGAAGTGGTAGGCCACGTAAACTGACGGAGCGGGGTCAGCGGATGCTGACGCGCATAGTGCGAAGAGGTCGCCAACTTTCTGCAGAGTCAATCACTACAGACCTCCAAACTTCATGTGGCCTTCAGATTAGCTCAAGAACAGTGCGCAGAGAGCTTCATGGAATGGGTTTCCATGGTCGAGCAGCTGCATCCAAGCCATACATCACCAAGTGCAATGCAAAGCGTCGGATGCGGTGGTGTAAAGCACGCCGCCACTGGACTCTAGAGCAGTGGAGACGCGTTCTCTGGAGTGACGAATCGCGCTTCTCCATCTGGCAATCTGATGGACGGGTCTGGGTTTGGCGGTTGCCAGGAGAACGGTACTTGTCTGACTGCATTGTGCCAAGTGTAAAGTTTGGTGGAGGGGGGATTATGGTGTGGGGTTGTTTTTCAGGAGCTGGGCTTGGCCCCTTAGTTCCAGTGAAAGGAACTCTGAATGCTTCAGCATACCAAGACATTTTGGACAATTCCATGCTCCCAACTTTGTGGGAACAGTTTGGAGCTGGCCCCTTCCTCTTCCAACATGACTGTGCACCAGTGCACAAAGCAAGGTCCATAAAGACATGGATGACAGAGTCTGGTGTGGATGAACTTGACTGGCCTGCACAGAGTCCTGACCTCAACCCGATAGAACACCTTTGGGATGAATTAGAGCGGAGACTGAGAGCCAGGCCTTCTCGTCCAACATCAGTGTGCGACCTCACAAATGCGCTTCTGGAAGAATGGTCAAAAATTCCCATAAACACACTCCTAAACCTTGTGGACAGCCTTCCCAGAAGAGTTGAAGCTGTTCTAGCTGCAAAGGGTGGACCGACGTCATATTGAACCCTATGGATTAGGAACGGGATGTCACTTAAGCTCATATGTGAGTCAAGGCAGGTGAGCAAATACTTTTGGCAATATAGTGTATATAATAAATTTTTTTTTTTTTTTCAGAATCAGGGAACCCTATTAAGACTGACAGCTATCTTGATTGTTTCCCACAGTAATAATAGCTTTCTCTTTGAAAAACAGTCCTCTGATTGTTTGGGGAAAAAATCATGATAACCCTCCCCTGAGTAAAAAGCACTAGCAACTTCTTCAGCAAGGTCATTGCTGCAACACACTGCCAAAATCTCTTCATATCTTGAAAACCTGATGTTACTTTCCCAAATACATACTGTACTACAGAAGTTGCAATTATGCGTTTTCTTTTCATTTTGTTTGTGCTTTAAACCCTAAAGTAGTTAAACACATTCAGTTTGACTTGAAAGAGAAAATACAGGGGTAAGAAAATATTTGATAAAACTTTCATAAAATGAAATGCCTACATTTTAGAACAAGCTCTGAAGTTAATCTATGCAATGATCGGAGTTAAAAAGAAACGTTTTCTGTCTCCAACACAAAGAGAAACTCAAGTGTGAAGCATGGAAGTGTTCGAACAAACAGACTTGATTTCAACAAACACTTACCCTAGAGGAAAGGATTTTATTCTGTTTTCTTAGCAATCAGAGAAAGCGGGCATCAAAGCACAAAGAGGAAATAGCTCTTGTTGTAGATTGTAGAGACAGCAACCAGATAAATATGAGTCGCAGAGAAAAATCGCTTACAATCCCAGAAAGGCAGAAAAAAAAGAAAGACGGTGAGCCCAAATGAAAGGTAAGTCCATCTTTCTGGGCACCAGCTACTGGATAAAGCACCACTGGGATTTCTGCATATGTGTGACGAGTAAATAGAATAATACAGCAAAGAACCCATTTCCTCAATAGACTGTGGATATTCAAATAAAGGAGGATAAACAGACTCTGGTAACAGACATAATAGACATTATTTAGGGCTATTAGAGAAAAGCTGTAAGTGTTATGAGACATACTGGACTTCATTAAGGTGCCTAAGAATACAGGGGGGGGGGGGATAAAAAGACTTAATAGACTCTTAGAACAGAAATATCCTTTATTGTCCCACTTAGAGAAATTCAGGCGTTCGAGGCAGAATCAAATAGGCATATGAAAGCATAGGTACAGACAAAAATAAAAATGATCCCAAAACTTATTACTTCCAACCCCAGACTAAAACTATTAAATTTAAACAAAAGGCCTACCAAGATAAAAGGACGGTTTATTGAAAACAGTACATGGTTTTAAAGTTTGCTCTCTCACCTCTTCTTGTGTTATAAAGTAATGGTCTGGAAAAGAAAATATTATGGGGCAACAAACATTGTATGGACGCCAACTGCAAGGATTTACTGAGCCTAAAGGAGAGTTCAGAAACCTGGTGAAAGCTTTGTTGAGCTGATGTTTTACGGGCAACACTGGACTCTGCATCGATGCTTATCTATAGTAGGAAGGTCAGAGAAAGTGAGGAACTTAGCAGCGGTTGCATCAAAGCCATACGTTCCCTGATATCAGTGTGTCTGAGCGGTCACTGCTGTTCTGCTGTGGATTTATGTTTGAATTCTCTTTATTGTGGCGGTGAACAATAATTCCATAGAAGTATACATCACAATATATGCATAATTTACTGCATTTGTCAAGTTTCATGCATTTTGCTTTTTAAAGCGAATACTTCTAAAATGTTACATTCCAGGAGTTTTATAAAAAAGTTTGTGCAGGATTCTGCTGTTGGTGTTCTTGGCAGTCTTTCTGAGGTTTTTATGATTTTTATATAAATCTAATAATTATATCATATCGACCATATGATTTATGGTCACGATACAGGTCTTGATATAAGTTTTGTGCATATTGTTAGTGCTATTTGAAGGCATCAATTTACTTTTTATGAGGATATAAGACCTTGAAAAAGTTTTTAACACAAGTGGCATCTTCACAAACAATTCACACCAGCAGAATTGAATAGGCTACACACTATTGCTCAGAGTTAAAAGCCATCTGATCCCACACTATATCACATCAGATACCAAAGGGAGCTCTGCATCTAAATGTGTCCAGAAAAATACCAGCAGAAGACTCTGTGTAAATGGGGGGAGTGCTAAGATTAGAAAATGGGAGAACAAAAGATTTTCTTAAGTAATTCTTCTTCTTGCACACATCCCTTCAGATATAATTACTACAAGCTTTGGGAAGTTTCAATTGTATTCAAACAGCTGACTAAGCTAGACCTTGAGCTGCTGAGAGTCACTATTCAGCTAGTGTCAAGTGAAACAGTAAAGTGGAACATGCATCTTTAAATACGGCTTTTCAAAAGGATATTTTTTTATGAACAAACAGGGTTTCTCCGTACCCTGTAGTAGTGTGGTAGTAACGAGGGACGATTAGCTTCTCAAGACCGGCTCTTGATCAGGAATCGTAAGGTCAGGAGAAAATCAAAAATGTTTGAAATTCGGTCAGCCCTTGTGAGGTGTTCATGCACAAATCCTGCTGTTAAAGTAGAGCTACGAGTTAGATAACATCAGAGCGCCTGGCCTTAAAGTGTAAGAACATACATCGTAAGCTGTGAACCCTGCTGTTTCATCGTACCGTCTGAGCAGTAGCTCTGTATGATGATTGAAAATATCAGTCTATGCCTGCCTTTATCCAATCAGGCCTCTACTTCCTCGCTACTTAGTTCAATAGATGGAGGTTTCCCACAGAGGCTGACAGGCAGCGTCCTGCTGCTCCAAGGTGGAGTGAAGATCGTGTCTGAGAGCTCAACAGCTGATTAATGTGCAACATTATCATGAAATCAGGCTCATTTTAGTGCATATTTAATGTGGTTTAATACAATATATATTTTACCAATACTTCTATGAAATTTACAGTGGAAGTTTAGCCTTCCTAGCATTCAATGAGAAATCATCACTGGTTTACACACAGTTAAATTACTGAAAATAATGAGTAAGCATAGCATCTTAAACTAGAAATGTTACCTCCTGACTCACTTAGAAAAATTAAAGATGTCTTGAATGACTCATGTTAAAGTTATCAAAGCATGTATTCTGTTAAACATTTGAGTTGAATGAATGCAGACCTGCTTCATTGTAGTTGGCAGAGAGTTTTTCCAGCATTTCTCTGTCTAGTGTCAGTATCTGCTGCTCCAGGATGGATGGATAGGATAGGCCTCCCTTTTCCTTCTTTTCATCTTTGTCTTTTTCTCGGTCTCGCTCTCTCTCCCGTTCATAGGTCAGTAGCTGCTGGCGCAGAGCCTCTGCCAGGTGGGTCTTAGCAAACTCAGCAGCAGCCTGATGAAGGAGAACAAAGGAAGACAAAAGAGAAAATAGACAAAATGAGGTTGATTACAACAAACGCTGTAGACGGTAAAGTGTGGAAATATTAATATGGAAGCTTAAGAAACAGCCTTCACTCTCATCTCATATCCGTAAATCATTCCTTAAAGATTGTTACATTTCAGCTTCTGCTAATGTGAAAGTCAAATTCTGCATTCAGCTTGAAGAAATTACAGTGATCAATTTTTACAATAATAAGGTGTCTTTAAGAGCTTTTAGCCAATCAGAGTCCATTCAACTGGGGCACTACAGCATTGCTTGACATTCGTTAAAGACATCTCCTTTCATCTTTTCATGTCTGCTGCTATTGTACAATTGTTATTGAAATGACAAATGCAATTTAGTACATAATGTAGCTATAGTTCATACGTATTTTTATATAAAAAATGGATTTTGTATGAGCCATATATTCTTAGAATCACATAAAATTTAGGATAGATGGATATAAAGTGGTCAGAATTTACATCAAAAACTGAGAGACAAATTAACTGACTGGAGGATGAGTGAAAAACATGGAGGATAGACAAACAGCAGATGGACGGATGGATCGAAGCGTAGTGGCTGAGTTAAGTATGTATTCAATCTGTGGACAGATCCAGACGAATCAGAGAGGAGACAAAAAAAAAGTTTTTGCTAAAAACTTAGAATCCGTCTCTACCTTTAAATATATCAGTCAGTTTTGGCAATTGAAGTTAAAAAAATAAAAAACACAATGACGTAAAAACCTAATAAGGATGGAAACTACCATAATCTGAAAATCTGATTTAATTTAATGTTTTATCATTAGTGCAAAGGAATTTCCGCACTGATAGATGAACATACACATGTATGTTGAGTCTGCAGGGGGAAAAAAATGACCTTCATGTTCCCTCAGCCTTGCTGCAGCACATAAACCAAGATAAAGAAAGAAAAAAACTGCAACCTATCAAACACACACGGGCTCCCACTGTGGGACACAGCTGAGCTAGAGAAACTATATCCTTACCTCCACTAATTTTTTTTCTGCCAAGGATAACAAAAAGTTAACCTTTTCTCACAGATTCCTGTTGCATTTGGAAAGCAAATGATGCCTTACTCCCCAAGCAGAGAGAAAAGCAGCCAACACAAGGTCACAGAGTACTAATATGAGATAACATAGTGCAAACATGACTCCAGTCAGCATCAAGCAGAACCCACAGAACTGGTATTTCACCCTACTTAAGTCTAAACCTGCAGAAAATAAACAGCAAAAGCGAGATGAAAGACATAATAAAGTTGGCAGTTTCTAGGCAATTAATATAACAATGAGTTTATTGGACCTAAACCCAAGATTACATGCTAGAACACTGTCCCCTTTTAGCTGTCGCCACTAAACCTCTCCACACTTGTTTTTCTAAAATTGCTTTCATGAACTAAAATAGCTCTGCCTACTCTTCTTTTTCCCTACACATGCAAACAATTCATCAACCTTCTCATTATGTTTTATCAGCACTAGTTTCCCCCTCCATCTTCTCTCACTTTTCCTTTCCTACAGTCTGCTTCCATGGGGATGCTCAGCCTTAAATCACCATAAATCTTTTCTGCACGCTTTTCTGACTCGGCAAGGAGAAATATATGTTGACATCAATTCATTCTGTTGTCACCAAGCAGGAAGCTACACTTAATAAACTGGGATCAGAGGTCAGGAATGGAGCAGAAGGTCCTGTTTGCTTTGGTTTTAATGTCCCAATTACTAGGAACTACTACAGTACAGCCCACAGAGTCAGTTTAGATTCAAAACTCTATTTTATAATTATGTAATTTATGGAAAAACAGTCCTCCAACTCTACCTGGCTCTGTATGAACATGTAGCCTGAGAGTTCATCTGATGTTATGGGATGCATATTTTCCCAATAGTTCCCTTTTTGTCGTTGAAGTTCAAAGATGATCCTCACCGGTAATACTGGGTTTTGATTTTGGCTTTTTACTCTGGAATTATAAACACTGATCATAAGTGAGGTCTGCAGTATTTTAACCGAGGTTCTTGGTTGTTTGTGACCTGCTATACAAGTGGTTGTTGCACTCTTGGAGTAATTTTGGTTTGTTGGCTACCCATAGGAAGATTTGCCACTCTTTATTGCTCCATTTGTGGCTTTCACCTTTATTCCCTTTAAAAACAGGCCTGAAGTCCTTTCCAGAGTGAAAGATTTTTATGACTGTGTTTTAAAAATGAACATTTTGAGAACTTTTAGCCAACGTAATGCTGTCGGATAGTTTCTTAGATTTCACGTGGCAGCCAGGCATGATTACCATCCACCCTGTTAAATTTTTTAAAAATCCCCTCACACTATAAGTACTTTCTCTTTACAGGCTCACTGCTTTGGGTGGCTTCCCCCCCACCTAAATAAATAACATCACCATCCAAAAACTGATTTGTTTTTTGTATGAACTCAGTTCACTTTTGTCTAAGATTAAAACTTGTCTACAAGCCTGAAACATCAAGGTAGGAACAAAAAAACTGTTAGCAAACTGTGTCCCATTTTACATCCTATACACCAATACAGCAGGCAAACATTAGGGCAGTGCTTGATATCTGAGTGCAAACCCTGCTGCCAAGCCAGACCAGAACATCTAATACCAGATAGGAAGATGAAAGGAGGATGAGGGCAAAAGAGCAAGGATACATGAAGATGTAAACTGAAGTAGACGGATAAGGACCGGGATCAAAGGTGTTAAAAATAGGAGAACAAAATGTAGCATGAGCGCAAAAGGTATAGCAGAGGAATGTAGAGCAAAAGATGGTAGAGCCAGAGTAAATTAGGCCTTTAAATAGCTAGAATCTAACATCCAAAGAATGAAATATTTGTTTAAGACCCATTCATTCATCTTCTAAACAATAATGCAGTAGTTTCCGTTGGATAGGACTCAGAATCAACCTCATCCGGCAAGCTGGTACACAACACTATGACTAAAACAAGATCATATTTCAAACGTGTTTTTAAGAAAATAAAAATAAAAACCCTCAGTATGACATCAAACTAGATCAAAAAAAGCAAAGAACAAAAACATTCTTCTTTCTACTTTGGCAATTTTGGCTTTATTTTTTCAATTTGCCCCTCAGGGGTTTAGGTAGATTTAAATTCACAGGGTTTTAATATAGAAAAAAAAAAATCAAACAATACAGACAGAACCTACATAATGGCCTTGTAATGAAAGCCATGACAATCCAGACCCAATTTAATGAATATGCTAACTACATTGTTGAAATATTTAAAGGAAACAGAGAAAATGTTTTAATGACAACACAAGGAAACATTTAAATCATATTTGAACAGATAGAAACAAGAACAATGAGAGAGAAATATTCAAAGATCTGTGTAGCTTTTCACCTGGCTCTTTATCCTAAAGTAAACAATATGCAATTAAATATTTTCTTTAAACAGACCTCAATGACCCCATATTAAAAATCTTTACTGATGCTTATCAAGGAAAATCCAACAAGGGTGCCATCTCTAAAACTTACAAAGGCCTACTATCTACAAAATCCCACAATATAGACTACATAAGGAAAAAGTGGGAAAGGGAGGGAATTTTGGAAATAACTGAGGAGGATTGGATTGACATTTGTCAATCCCAGTGGAAATGCACCAGCTCTCATTCATGGTGAGAGTTCGGATGGAAGTGTTTGATCCGTTTCTTTATCACACCAAAACAAAAGACACATTTTACTGGAGGTGAAGCTATGTGTTGGAGGCAATGTGAACACCAGGAAGCCAATCATTGGAATATCTTTTGGGAATGCCCAGTGATTAGACCCTTTTGAGCAGAGCTTCATAAGGTACTAAATGGTCTGGTTAATACTAATCTACCTCTGCAGTTTTCAACATTTTTTTAGGAAATTTTGATTTACAGTTTGGAAAAGCTGGTGAATATTTATTTGATATTCTGATAACTGCTGGTAAAGAAGCACTCACAAGACGTTGGTTGGTCCCCGACCCACCCACAATACAAGAGTGGACAAGTATTATAAATGACATTTACCCTATGGAAAGGATCACCTTCTCCCTCCACCTTCAGAAAAATATATTCACTAAGAGGTGGGCCAAGTGGGTTAAATACGCTGGTCTCCAACAAAGAGAAGTATGGAATGCATGACCATGCAAAGCCCGTTTTTTAATCTATGCTCTGTAGCGTCTAAGGATTAATAAATTAATGTCTCTCATACTTTATTTCAGAAACACCTGGTATATGATTTACTCCTGGTTTTTCAGGAAGACCTGTCTTTCCCTGTTAGTTCAAAGTTGTTAGATGTAATTTCAGATGTAACTTGTATATTTTTTTTATATTTTGTTTATAATTTTATATATACAAAAATTTATTGCGAGTGGCGGTAGTAACATTGTGCATTCCCTGAAAGTAACTATCTTTGTATTGTAATGCTCTCACAAGGAAAAAATAAAAAATGTAAAAAAATAATAATAAATATTTTCTTTGGATATAATTTAGGGATTCCTTTTGGTAGAAATTAGAGAATGTTTATTATAACAGTTTGTAAGCTTGAAGAGATAAAATACTGATATTTAGACAATTTTTTTTATGCTTGGAAGAGAACGATCGGCTACATAGTTTATTAAGTAGCGAGAGCAGGAAGAGCCAGACTGCCGAGAGTGAACCATCAGTGCGGAGCCAGAAGCACAGACTCGCGAATTTCTGCTGGAAGATCAGAGTTTGTCAGATTTGAGAGCGCAGTACCGGCCATTCTGGGTTATTTTCTCCCCTGCCACTGCTGCGATGATCCATTTGTGGTCATGCAGAATGTTCACCGCTGCACCCCAGGTGGGCAGCATGACCTAATAAGACGCAGCACAACAGCTAATACTGCTTAACTTGTCTAACAGATTACAGCACAATGGTGCATTTTAAACATCTGACCTACCACTCGCTAACTTTTTATTTAGTCTCGTCAACAAAAACTCATACCAATGACTCGTCATATT